TTCTTAATTTAGGAACTAAGTGAGGGACATCAGTATTTGAAACTAAGAGAAATGTATCCTACAAGTTCAGGCTACCAAAATGTTGAGGTTATAGTAAACTACTTCGTTTCATCTTGAGGTGAAGAAATGGAAAGATACAGCAAGTAAGTCTTGTTTAGCTGAAAAAGATATAAGACAAAGCGCTAACAACGCACAGCGATCTGATAAAAGCCCCCCACCTCCCCCACCAGACTCCTTCTGGAAGAGGCAGGATCAGGGGCAGGAGTCTGTGGGCAGGCCCCACTCTAGCAAGGGCGAGAAATCTCAGGCCACCGTTACTGAATCTGTAGTTTCTACTTCTAAATGAACAGGCCTTTTGCCCTGTGAATTTCCTCTTTTTAAATGAACAACCAAAAAAATAAAAATAAAGTTTGCTTTTAGCTGTGGCTCAGAGGCTAGATTTGAAAATAAATGTTGGCCATTACTTTATCAGCTACTATGTGGCCTTATTTTTAAACATTCTTTCCATGAAGGGTCTGATTATAGCACAGAGGCCCACAGGAGACAAGTGGGGGTGGCAGAGCGGATTGTAGCCTGAGGCACTTACTTGCTTGAGAAAATTGCTGCCAGATGATGGCTTCAGAAAACTGAGGCTGCTGATGTGGTCTGTAGTGGGTTCAGGAGGAAATAAACTGCGTTTCCTCCTGTCCTTCATAAATACTTGCTGGAGAGCTGATGGGTTTTCTTATGCATGTGTATTTCCTTTTTCTGCTGGGGAAACTGCAAGTTCTACAGCAACATCCTGTGATAAAACACGTGAAATGTAGACGGAGGGACAGAGGGATGAAGGAGAAGTGTGCCTGTGTCTGTGGCGTTGTGAATTACGATGAAGTTCTTGGCAACATGGGTGATTAATTCATTGTATATGTGGAATGCACGGGACTTAATGGAGATAAGCCATGGAATTAGTAGCTTTTCATCTAACAGATGTTTATTCCCATCAAAGAAGCCATGAATGCTTTCACAGATTTACGTTGTATTTTATTTTAAATTAGTAGACACCCTACAAGCATTACAGGGAGTGAGCGGAGCCTTCTTTGCCTGACTTTAAAGCTGATAAATGACTCTCCCAATTCCATAGCTGTTGCTCTGGTCAGGTGCATACATTGGGTTACCAAGACTATGCATAGTTTAGCACTGTGTCTCTAACCAAAAAACGTAAGAAAGATCTCAACCTGAGATTGTTAATTCTATGAAAATATGAATATAGAATTTTCTGGGAAGATGTCCCTGTGATTCTCTCTTCAGAAGGAAATGTAATTATGGTTCTAAAATAATGGGTTTGTTTTAACATTTTTGTTAATCCTCACCTTTTGAAATGGCATATTAATAAATGTTATATAGCCACCAACTGCATTTCAAATTATTTACTTGCTACCCTTTAATGGGGCTCTTTTTTCCCAGAGATGGTATCTACAGAGCCCTTTTAAGAGTTTGAAGAAATGGCTTTCTTCGCCAGCAGGGCACCAAGGGGACCCTTCAGCCAAAAAGAGCCCCCTGGGTTTCTGCAGCAGGAGAGGGGAGTGAGATGTGACCTGCCACACGGAGAGGCTGGTGGCCCCATCGCCCTCTCCATCCTCTGCCCCAGCCCAGCGGAGAGTGTCAGTGAGCCCAGCGCCCCCCTGCTCTCCTTCGTCCTAACTGGGAAAGTGAGCCAGCTGCTGTGCCCAGCGGCAGAGACCCAGGAGGGAGCTCAGTCTCCCTCCTTCTGTTGGACCTTCTTAGAGAAACTCCTCCTCCTGCCTCTCTCTGGAAATAGTGTCCTTTACAAATCTGGGCAACAGAGAGAAGACAGGGCTATCTATGTTGTTTCTTGCCTGGGTCGAGTTACCTGGCCCTGAGTTAGCAGTGCTATCAGGGCGTTGGCCCAGAAGGGCCTGGGTCACTAAGGTTTTTTCACACAGCATAGCACCAGCTTTTGTATTTCCTTCCTCCCTACCCCACTCCCTTCCTCCCTTCTCTTTGTGCTGCTTGGATATCAAATCTGGGACCTCACGCATTTCTGGGCAAGGGCTGTGCTACTAAGCTGCGTCCTCAGCCCTGGCACTACCTTTTGTCAGGCTTGTCAGTTACACATACCCTCTGGCTAGCCAGATTCCGGCCCCTGGCGTGCATGCGTGCTTGCGTGTGTCCTTGGATGTGTGTGGCTGAGCCTTAGGTAGCACCTGTATAGAATACAACAGAGAAAAGCACAGGTCGCAAGTACGTGTCTGCCCAGTGAGTTTTCACAAGCAGAAGCTCCCACGTAACAAGGGTCCAGGTTGAATTTGTCCTCTTTCTTTCCTAATTATCAAAATACCTGTGGAAATTAATTTGGCAAATACAGCCAAGTGTATTAAAATAGGAACCCCTCATTTTACCTGTGCCTTAAAATAACCACTGATATATTAGTGTGTTTCTCCTCCTTCCTTGCACATGTACCTGTAAAAATACACACACACGCAGGACCACCTCTAAAGCTTGATGAATGTGTGCGCAGACTCACATGCAATTTTAATCAAGAGCAGTCACATAGCATACAGATTTTCAGCTGTTTTATTGTGTGACTGTTGGCTACATCCACAAAATGGCAAGAAAGGAAAGTCAGGGAAACAAAAAAAAAAACACTTTTCTTTTTATTTGGCAGCAGGTAATAAGACTTTTTTTTCACTAAGTATGTATTTTTAATAAGTCACTTTTAAATTACACTCAAAAAAAAAAATAAAGAGGACTAGTGGGCTGGGAATTTAGCTCAGTGACACAAATGCCTGCTTGGCAAGCACTAAGTCATGAGTTCAATCCCTACCAAAAAGAAGGAATAGAATTCATTCTGACACATTTTATTTAATAATATAGTATTTACTATTCCACTATGAATATATAAACTGACAAGGAAAAAAGTAAAAGTTCCATTTACCTTATTAAGGGATACATTTATAATAAAATGTACTTTTTATGATTAATAATTCTACATATACTTTTTGTTGATTGCATACTAATGATTGGGTTTTATAACGATTTTTTTTTTTGTTCTAGGAATTGAACTCATGACCTTGTGCTTGCCAGGCAAGCACTTATGCCTGCTGAGCTAAACCCCGGCCCTAATGATTGTTTTTCTAACCTCTTAAAAATTTTATTACTTTTGTTCACTTTGTATTTTTATTAGTGCATATGGCCTTATGGATTAATAGGTTTCATTTTGGCAGGTTTGTATATGGACACATTGTTGTACTCCTTTCCCTCCCCTTCCCCCCTAGTTGTACATGTTTTGAGAGAGAAGTTTAATGTGTATATTGCATTTTAATCAGTTTCAGACCCCCTGTTATTTATCTACCCTTACATCTCCTCTTCTTTCCCCAGAAAAGAAGAGGCTCTTGTGGGGAAGAGGCTGAAACAGATGGCTAATATGTAAATAAGGGACATTTGTGTATTTCAGGAATCACTCAGTCTCTGTCCATCTCTCAGAATATTTTTTTTTTTTTGTGGTTTTCATTTTTATTGGTACCAGGAATCGAACTCACGACTGCCTGCTTGCAAGGCAGGCGCTTATGCCGCTGAGCTAAATCCCCAGCCCCCATCTCTCAGAATATTAATGAGTTCAGAGCCTTCTGGCTGGAGACCCTCTCCATGCAGGCGCGGTCAAACCTCAGCTCAGACTGTCCACTGCTCTGTGGAACTAAACCCATCCTGGCCTCCAGGCTCACATTGCCAGAGGCCACTTTTACTTTTTTTACTTAGCTCCCTTGCAGACCCAGAAATAGACTTTAATTGTAGCAACACCTCCCCTTTTTTTTAAACAAAAATATGCTGAGTACAAACATTAAGAAATCGGTCCAGTGATTTTGTGAATTGTAGTGAAATTCTCTCCATGAAGACTAGCATGGGTGAAATGGTGCCTTGGCAGTGCTCATTGCTTGGTCTTGGCTGAGCATCCTGCACACGTTGTCAGGAGGAAACAGCTGACATCCATGTTAATTTTCTTTAGTACAACTTCTGATACAGTCAACTTTAAAAGAGGAAAAGTTGACTTTGGCTCACAGTTTCATAGGTTCTGTGGCTTGATCCCATCACTCTGGGACCTGTGGTGAGGCAGTGCATTATGGTGGAGAGCAGTTGCTGGAGTGAGCTGCCACCTCATGGCAGCCAGGGAGCAAAGAGGGAGCAGAGGGGAGGAAACCAGGGTGCCCTGTATCCGCTCCCCCAGAGCACACTTCCAGCGACCTAAGACCTCTGCCAGGCCTCACCTCCTAAAGGCTTCCTCCCCCACCACAGCCTGGGAGAGACATCTAAGTCCAAGATATAGCAGCACCAGCTTCCCATTGCTGGTGGCTGTGTTGTCTGTTGCACCTTGACTGGCCAAGGGCTCAGCTATGCAAAGGACTGGATGGCATTCCTTGTGTTGGAAAAGTTGTTTCTTTAAAAACTGGGCATCTGTTTGTTTACAGCTGACACATACAGCATGATAATTCAGTATATGCAGGAAAAGTGTTTTGATCAAGTCAGTAGTAAGAAACTGAACATAAGCTCTTTGTGTTGGAAGGATTTGACCTCTTCTAGTTTTATTTTGCAATATATAATAAATTGTGGCAAACTTTGGTCGCCTTACTAATGAATTGAATACTAGAATTTGTCCTTTGTGGGGCCGGGGATTTAGCTCAGCAGTGTAAGCGCCTACCTGGCAAGTGCAAGGTCGTGAGTTCAATCCTCAGCACAAAAAACAACAAAAAAAGAATTTGTCCTTTGTGTCTGTGTCTTAGTACCCGCTATCTAATCTTTATCAATGGCCATGGTTCTTTTTGTTAATATACCTTATGCTGTCATACATGTGGAATTTTGTTATTATATACACAGAAAATGTACTGGACTCTTTGTAGAATATTTTCTTGTATCACTCTTTTTTCCTTTCTTTTCAAAAACGTCTTTACAGAAAGTATGAGATGGCCTCTCTGTTTACACGTGCTCTTGTTGTATTGTCTTTGCAGTCGAAATCAGCTGTCTTCCCTACCTGCCTGCCTGTGTGGTCTGCCTCTCAAAGTCTTAATCGCAAGTAACAACAAGCTTGGATCCCTCCCAGAAGAGATAGGGCAGCTCAAACAGTTAATGGAATTGGTATGTTACTGATTTTTCAGATGCTCATTGTGTTTGTTGATTGATCATAACTGTGAGGATATTCAGAAAGAATTTTTGCTACAGTTGGAGCCTACATTAGCCCAGTTCCAGTTACAAAATACCCAAGTCTAGAAGTTTGATGATGAAAAATGGTTTATTAGCTCATAGTTCTTGGATAGTCCCAAATCAGGTGGCCTCATGTATTCAGCCTCTGGTAATGGACCCCTTGGTCACAGCATGTTGATGGCATTATGGTGGGAGTGGGTATGAAAGGGAGAGGCCAGAGAGAGTAGGGAAGGACCAACGTTCCTCTTTTTTTAAAATTTTAGTTAATCACTCACGAGAATTCTTGGGGTCCCATGAGAACTGTCAGTCCCTTCTAAGGGCAATGTCTCAGTAACCTAGTCACCTACTATTAGGCCTTACTTCTTAAAAGTCCACTGCTTCTGAACTAAACTGGGAAAATAAAATAAAATCAACTGGGGACTAAGTGTCCAATGCATGAAAGCTTGGGGGACAAACTACTTCCAAACCATAGCAGAGCCTAAGGTGAGTGAGGGCAGAATATGACAAAATATGCTAAGTGGGAAAACATGAAACCAAAGACTATGGCTTTGCTGTGACACAGTTCCTGAAATTTACAAGTTTCCTGCAGTTTATGGTTCCTGAAATTTGCAGGATTTACAGTTCCTGGTTTACAGGTTATCGCGTTAGGGCTAGATGATTTTTTCAGATTGCATAGAAATTTATGAAAAATGATGGTTAAGCTAGAAAAATAAGCTGCAAATAAGTTAGAAGGCCACATTTTTATGAAGTTGTATAATTAACTCAGAGGACTATAAGAACACAGTACTGTGACTCAAGATTCTTGGTCTGCCAAAGTAGCACTATCTCCAATCCCAGGGCACAGGGTTTGTTATAGTAGCATCCTGAGCTTTTCTTAGCATCTTGTCCTGGACCCAGCTCCTAATAGAATTCTAGCCGGTGGCCTGGTTACCTAGTTATCCCAATGTCATCCTGAGTCCTTGTGTTTTTTCTCCATCAGCAATCACAATGGGACTCTCAACTTCTAGAATGTTAGAGACAGAGAATTTTAAAAAAGGCTTCTAGTCCAACCTGTTGACTTCTTGTCCAAATGAAGAAACCCAGTTCAAAAAGTGTGAGGGAGGTGTGTGAAAGTTATCATTAAGTGGTAACCTAAGCTCAGACACCCTTTCCAGCACCACACAGTGAAATGCACTGTAAAGAACAGTGTGATTTCAGATGCAGTGGTGACGCACTTTAAAAAGGAAAAAGAAGCAAGTGAGATTAATTTTAATACTATTTGATTTAACTCCAGATAGCCAAAAATTACTGTGGTATTTCGCATTCCTTTTTTTCACACTGAACCTTGGAATTCTGGGTGGTATTATACACTGACAGCACATCATGGACCGGACCTGCCTCTCCTCCGTGCTCTGTGGGTGCCTGGCTGGTGGCCACCCTGCTGGACACTGCAGCTCTTCCTGCTTCACGATCCCTCTGAGCAAGTTTACTCTTTGTAAAAAAGCATTTGTCCATAAAGTACATGAGAATTTAGTAAGTTGACATTACTTAACCACGACAAAGTGATGTGAATGATCTTGGTTAAGGTCACCAACTAAAAAAAGGCAATTTTCCATTCGCATTTATCTTTGATAGCATTTTGCTTAAAATATAGTGTTACTAAGGTAACTGTGTGAGGTTATTTTTAGTTATCAGTTGGAAGGCTTTTGTCTTATAGTCACATATTACCAGTTTGTTTAAAAAAAAAAAAAAAAAACTTAGGAGCTCCCCAATTGCTTAGAATACTTGAACCACCTAATACTTCTGTGCTGCAAAAATCACTCCGCTGATTAGCTTGTAAGCATTGCTTGCTGTTTTGGAAAAATTACTTTTTACATTTTCATATCAGAACCAAAGCATCTTAAATTGAAACGTGAACTCTCTTCCCAGCATGGGCAAACATTCCAGAGTTAACTTCCATTTGGTAACACCAGCATATCTTAGCTATCTATGAAAAAGTAGCTTTCCCTTCGTATGTTTGAAAGAAAGTGGAACTGGTGTCCACCTGGTGTAGCCAGGTGTCATAACACACACCTGGGGAGGCTGAGGCAGAAGGGTCACTGCAAGTTCAAGGCTAACCTGGGCTACACAGTGAGTTTAAGGCCAGCCAGGTTGAGCTATATATCAAGACTTTGTTTTAAAAATGTTTTTAAAAAAATTATCTTACCTTTGTAATTGTGTTACAATTAATCTAAGAATCTTACAACAGAAAGGGTCCCTGGTCCAGCCATTGGCTGCTGTAGCCATTTGAGATTGTGCAGGGCATATTGAAAAGTGGATGTTCCTCCTCCTTTGAGGAAGCCACTAAAAGCACCACTGAGATGTCTTCTTGAATTGACAGCAGTGGCCAGGTTATATTTCCAAGTTAAGACAGGAGAACTTAGGGAATCCTACCTCTGGAGTTGGTCCCTTAGCATCATTTCTAGTAGGAATAATCTAGAATTTTCCCACTTCTTTGGCTGCTGTGAATGACTTCTGCAGCTGTTGCCTTCCAGCTGTGACATGAGTGTGCGTTGCCTCATCAACCTGTCTCTCTGTGTGTGCTTTCTGTAGGGGAAGAGGTGACATGTTTTATTCCATATAATCTTGTAAGTAACCCAGCAAGTCAGTCATAGTGTTTACATTTTGCAGGTGAGTTTCAGTTTGAGAATTATTTCCCTAAAGCCATGGGGCTTCATGGTGGATCTGGGGTCAGAACGAAGCTGGTTTGATGACAGTCTGCAGCCCAGGGCAGCAGCATCTCCTCAGTGAGGCTGGCTAGTGTCTCGCGGAGAGGGTGCATGATTTCTCTTCCCTGGACCTCCTTGCAGATACAGTGGTTGGCACAAGCCACAAGGAAGGAAATCGGAGAATTACCCCCCAAAGATTCAGAACAAGTAGGCATGTTGTTGAAAGGTTTTTTCCCCTGTGGAGCCAAGCTGGGTGGTTAAGTGTCTGAAGTCTTTTTCATGTTGACCGTCCTCATCTTGCTCATTAGAGCATTGGAAGCATGACCCTTGCCCTGTGAAACCGTGCCTGTGAATGTGGTGTGTTTGGTCAGGGCTGCTGTATTCACGCCACATGGTTTAACTAACTGAGAGCTGTGAAGACAAACACATCGAGAACACAATAAATGTCAGCCTTTTATGGGGCATTTTTTGCCAAGGTCAGAGTCTCCTCATTGGTTCTGTACGCATGACGACGTGCTGGGGTTCTCAGGCAGCCTGGCGCTGCTTGCTGGTTTGGTTTTTCTCACTTCCATCCTCCCCGCCTTTCCTCAGTGTGAGCTTTTCCCTCTCACCTTCTTGCGCCAGGACATGGGGTCACCATTTAGAAACTTGTCTTGACAGTGAAAAAATTCCCCAGGTCTGCCTCAAGTAATAGTAACTGGTTGGAAGGTGCGTTTCCTGGGCCTAACTGGACACACTGCTTTTTCTTCACTTTTCCTGAAATGTTTGGTTGTGTGGAGAGTTTGAATTCAAGGATCAACTACAGACAGAGGATGTGTAGAGCAGCTTCAGAGAAACATTCCTTCTTCATTACTTTTATGTGTGACATTCCAGTCTCTGAGGTGGGTCGGAGGGGTGATATGTCTGCCCTAACCATTTGTCCATTTGTGGTCTCTGGAAGTGTATCCTGACCTCTACGGTTTCTGTGGGACAGTTGGAAATCCAGGGCTTGCTCAAACCCCCTCTGTGGCTTCCATTTCTGCCTTTCACATGGAGAGGAGGGATGTGGAGTGTGTGTTTGTGGGTATGTGGGTGGGTGTGAACGGGTTTCACACTGGAGAGTCATTGGTGTTGAGAGGTTGCTTGAAAACATTTTAAGTTTAAATAAACAAATTGATCTTTTTAAAAGTTCTAACCACAAGCATTGAGGTGTTTTGTGGGTAAGAAATCATAGTTGACATTAGTGTACTAAGTATGTATGTTTCAACCAGTCTTTTCATTATTTATGATGTAGCAAGTGGATTTTCCTGCTGTTGGAAGAAAATTAGAATTGTTTAGTGTTCATCCTTTCTTTTTATATAGCACAGAGAGAGGGTAAGATTTAGATAAAGTGGCGGTGAGTCACAGGAAACCCATTTCCACAAAAAGGGCATGGTTACGTGGTTCAAAGCAAGTGATAATAGCTTGCATTTTCTGTGGGAGCATTCACATTTCCTTCAATTAAATGAAAAGCTGGATTTATTACAGAAATTATACGTCAGCCAATAGCATCACCACCCAAACCTGAATGTAAGAAGAAGACTGAGTGGGAGGGCTGACTGCCCTTCCGCAGTGTGTCCGGCCCTCACTGGACTCTTCTCCAACCAAGGTCATCTTGGCAGTTTGTGTTGGTTTTGTTGGATATTATAACTTTAAAAGCACTTTTGTCTTTTGTGTACAGTACTGTTTTCTGAAAGTGAGTGTTGCCTAGCTAGTAATCCCCCGGTTTATTCTGGAATTTTAAATCCTTCTCATTTTTGCATTCTGAGGTAAGAAAACTTGCTAAGACATCCAGCACTTAGTAACCTCCCACATGCATTTAATACTTTCAGAGGCTTTTGTGATGAAAAGAGAATCTTCACTTCCAAAGTTTTTCTTTTGTTCGTTTAAAAAAAGGCTGATTAAACCAGTGGAAAATAGATAAAATTTAAGTCACACAGTTTTCTCTTTTGGTTTTTTATGTAAATGACAAAACTGAACTGATTGGTCAATAAAAATTTTAATAATATTATAACACAAATAGATGGTAATTTTATTTCACTTAAGCTTAGAATAATTATTCTTTTAAGGCATACCTTAGGGCTAATTAGAAAATGCAGATAGAATTAATTTGACTATACTACTAGGTAACCAAGTCTGGTTTGTAACCTGATAATTTTTACTAATTGCAAAAAGGTGAGTTATTAGTGCTATTTTAAAAATTTGTCCTCCTAAATATTATCCTAAAGTAACTAAAAAAATTCCTAAGTATTTCTTACCTTAGGCTAAATTTGAACAGAAATATTCTAGAAGATGGGACTAATCTAGAAATATTGCTTGTATGTTTTCAAAACTGACATATCTTATCCCTAGGCACCTAGACAATTATCTTGTTTCTTCCTCCTTCTTCAGCTAATTAAGACAGTTGCCCCTGGGATTTTAGTTTTGTGATAAAATTCATAGCCTCTTTAAAATTTGGCAAGGTTCAATAACTTTTGAGAGAGTAGAATATTGTACCATTTTCTACAGTATTGGTTGTATAATGGTGAATTTATCTCTTTTATGTGCTAGAGCTGCCTGGGCATTTTTGTCCTGTTGTTTTATCAGGACAGGAAGTAATTGACAACAGTGCAGAGCATCATTAAAACAATCTGACTTTTTCTGTTTACACATCAAACTGTGAAGGACAGCTGGACCTTGTGATTCAGTATGTGGATGTCCTGTCTTGTACATGGAAAATACTGTTTTTATCATATATGAAGTTTTTTTCTTAAGTATATTGAATAACTGTTTTCTCTGCTGATAAATACAGCTGACAGAAATTGATTTTCTTTGATATGATCATTATAGTAGAAATGTATGTTGGAAGCCTGGTGTGGTGATGCATGCCTAAAATCTCAGAACTTGGGAGACTGAGGCAGGAGGATGGCCATGTGTTCCAGGGGTGCACAGTGAGATCAAAGTGTCTTAAGAATACAAAAACAACAATAACGGCAGCAACAAAATGACTACTACCAACAATAAAATATGTTGGAAAAATTACCTTACATGTAGGAAACAATAATGCCTTGATTTCATGGGATGATCCACACAAAGCAAGCTGTGTGTTGTTTCTACTGAAAAATGGAGTAAGTTCCTTTCAGCAGATTTCACACTGTGCATGTGGTGTCTAAATACGTTTTTGCTTCCCTCTTCCTCCTCTTTATTTAAGAGAAAATTTGTTCTTAATAATTATGTCCTTGAAGCTTCTGACAATTTCACAATGAAAGTCTATGATTTTCACGATACAGAAAAGGGCCTTTTGCGGTCATTCATGGGATTAGAAAAGCCTGTTTTAGAGTTCAGTGACGTTGGTGTATAGTGAGAACTGCAGGTAGTGGTCACCAGGCTGCAGTGTAGGAAGCAAGGGTGGAGTCCTTCAGAGAAATGGTGCTGGAGGAATTGGCGGACCTCATCAGAGGTGCTGGTCTTGCTGCAGATGTGTTAACTGGTGAGCAACACAATGAGATTTGCACTCTAACGTCTCTGTAAAGGATGGATCCAGGGTAGATGGATGTGTGGAAGCCAAGCAGAAGACTTACATTGTCCAGGTGAGAGGTGAAAGCTTGTCTGGACTAAAGGATAAACTGGGTTTAGGGAGAGGAGAAGAGAGAGGGGCCTAGGGGAAGAGATAGATTAGGGGATAACAAAGATACGATTATGGATGTCATGGCTTCCATGTCATGGGTGTCAACAGATGGTTCCCATCATAGATTAATGGGTGTTACTAGCCTTCTAAAGCCAAAGACTACAAAAGCCTCTTTCCCACAGTCTTACTTATAGATTGTATGGGAAAATAATCGGCTAGCTACAGAGTTCCCAGCCACGTAGTAAAACCTCCACTTTAGATAAATAGTGCGTCCACTCAGGACGTTAATAGGCCCAGCTGTGGGAATTTGGTAAGATAGGATGCATCGCAATCTCCCTTCCTGTTTAGAGGCCCTGTGGGATGGTGGCTTAGCGATGGGTGGTGATTCCTTCCTGGTGCTCACTGGCATTTGCAGAGCTTGCCCCCTGCACCTCATTTTCCGGATCTGAAATAGTAGGCTGGTAATATTGGCTTTGTTCTGAGGTTTAAATAAAATTGGTGCACACGAAAAATGAAAACGACAAGCGGCTGCTGAAAAATAAAAATGTCCTTTTTAATCTCCTTTTTCTCTCCTGAAAGACTATTTAAAACGGAACTTTCCTTTTTTTTCTCTGCCCTGGGCCCTGCTTGTAGGGACTCGGAGACCGGTGTAAAAGTGTACCTGCGTAATTATCCAAGTATTTAGGTTCCTTTAAGACATTTCACGTGAAATGTGTGATTATGTGGAGCAGTGCATTTATGATTCCTCTGCTTGCTTTTGATGCAGGATGTCAGCTGCAACGAGATCACAGCGTTGCCCCAGCAGATAGGCCAGTTAAAGTCTCTCCGAGAACTGAACGTCAGGAGAAATTACCTCAAAGTTTTACCACCAGGTAAAAAACAAACCAAAAACAGGTGGGGGAGGGTGAAGAAAATAGAGGACGCTTTTATTGTTTTGGTTTCTTTTGTGAAGAGAAGACGGATCTTCGGGGCATGTCTGTTGATACTAATAGTTTGAATTTCACGTGAGATAACAGAAAAGTGCTGATCGGGATATGGTGTGCACGGATGGAGGCAGCAGCAGCCTTCCCCTTTATAGTTCTGAGAGGCCGGGGAGGGCTGACTGTATTTGTTTGCTGGAGTCGCTGTAAAAAGAACTGTAGCCTGGTGGCTTAAATCAAGGAAATTTAGCTTCTCATGGTTCTGGAGGCTAGCCATCTGAGACACAGATATTGGTCTGGTTGGCTCCGCTGAGCCTCTCTTCCTGACTTACAGAGAAGCCACTTTCTCCTCCCAGACTTCACATTCTTTCCCCTCTGCATATCTGCATCCTCACCTCTTCTTACAAAGATGCTAGTGGGTTAGGGTGCAACCTGAGACTTCATTTTAACTTAATGACCCCCTGAGGCTGTGTTTTCAAATACAGTCTTTATCTGCTATACTATGATTAGGGACCTCCACATATGAATTTCGGGGTGGGGGACCCAGCAAGTCCACAACAGGAGCAGCAAGAATGGTTTATGGACAGTTGTGTGATATTTTGGAACATGAAGCTAACAATTTATGGAACACAATGCTGTAAATCCTGGCCATCAGCATTTCTACCCTGGAGTCCTGGTAGAGAACCAAGTCCCTAGAATCTGCGTTCAAGTGAGGCCGGCCTCTGTTGAGTGATCTTAGCCTGCGGTCACTGGTATTTTGGTGAATTTCACTAGTGAAGGCTCCGGGGTCTAAGTATTGGGACTCAGTTATCCCCGCCAGAACATGGACTTGCTCACAAAGCCCTGTTCTAATAGCTGTGCACTCTGCTGTGTGTTCCCTGAACGGGGCATACAGTTCAAGTAAGAATATAAATTTATTTAGAAATTTTGTGTCATAAAGAGCTTGAAAGCAGCCCAGCTGATGGTAGTAGTTCTGAATTTTATATTTGGGTTTAAAGTAGATCAAGAATGAGTTGATGGGCAGTAAAACACAGCATGCATACTCTGGCTTTTAATGATTTTGTTGATTTTCACAGTTTTTGTTTAAGGACTCTAAGGCATAGCCAATTGCAAACGTATACTTAAAAATGTATTTCAGAGCAAAAGCATATATTTGGAAACAGTATTAGGCTAATATGATGTGGATGCAGTCATCTGAGAGCTACCTGAGTTTTATTATCCTTTGCTGTCTCTTGATCTTTGGCTTAAAATACGAAAGAAAGAAAATAGAGCTCATGAAATCATGGGGCAGAATTTTGTAAGCTGTAATATATTTGATGAATGAAAGATGCATGTGTTTGCCTGACAGCTTTCACCTTTCTAGCCTATATTTTAAAGTGGAACACAAAGCTATCTCAGTAAATTTTGCCACTTGTCATGAATTCACATAAAGTACTGATTTTTAATTTGTCTGGTCCCATTTTTGGAATGTATAGCACCACTCTTCTTGCTCTAAGTGGATATAAAAGGAAAGCTCTGATTGCAAATTTGCACACAGATCATTTTCAGTCATTAAAGAAAACATTCACTTAAATTTAAGTTTCCCTATTAATCATTGTGAAAATGTCACAAACAAGTGAACTCCCATTTCCAAAGGAAAACTTAATTGTATCGTTTGCAGTTGCTGGAGTTTGAACTGTGGGGAAGGAGTGTGCATCTGTCAGCCCAGCCGTGTCCTTTCCTCCCAGCACCTCTTCGTCTCTTACTTTAAAAGCATCTTCTCCCTGAAAGATCAGTTACAAACCAGTCTACTTTCCATTATTACCATTTCTCAGTTTTGATATTTTAAAATATATTCATAACTAAAACTTTCGCTTACTAGAAAATCTTTTTTTCTTTTAATTTACTGAAATCACCTTTCTTTTTGCTTCACTCTGGAGAAATCTTAACAAAAAAGCGTTAAGGATGCTTTTAGGCAGCACGTTACATCAAGGAATTTCTGTATTTGCTCCCACGTTGTCCTCTTCTTTTCCTCCTTAAATAGAATTGTCTAACAAGGACCCTTCTTCATACACTTCCATTTAAGAAGGAGAAAAAAGATTTGTGGCCTAATTACCCCTATCAGTTTTGTGCTGGTTTTACTACAATGAGAAGACCATGTTTTGATTTTTCTGGGACCCGAAAGAACAGAACTACAATAATTATGATGTCTTTGCAGTAGAGGAAGAGAGACTCCTTTTCCTCCTCCTCCCTTTCATCTTCTTTCCCTCCCCCTTATTCCTCCTTTTCTTCTTTCTTCCCTTTTCCCGCTCCCTTCCTCTTTAGCTTTTCTTGGCTGCCTTTATGGGTATCATATTCTCTCCCACTTCATGGCTGTGAACCTGGCTTTTGTTCTCATTTTCCCAAAGTACTAGATAGAGTTCCAAATTGGAACCCAAAGGAAAGAACTCCTAATTTCATCTGCCTGTAAGTTACTCCTGCTATGTTTTCCATGAATATAACCCTCTAGTCTTCCTTCAGAGCCGCCACTTTAAGTGGCAAACAATTGCCGAAGATCGGAAGTCACTTGAGGAATTGCAGTGGGCTGTGTCAGGCGGGCCTTTCTCTTATATGATGCCCTCGTCCTTGGCTGCTTTAGGAACTGAAAGATGAGAGGGAGCTGTGACTCGTCTTCACTCTCATGCTCGTCAGTCTCCACCTCGAGGTGCTCCGCCCTTCCATTGAAACAAGAGCTGTGACTGATGGCCTGAGAGCCCTAGAGTGAGGCAGAGAGTCGGGTTCCAGTGATGAACTACTCAGGACTTTTAAAAAGCAGGATCCTTGGCTTTGGCTCCAGGGGTCTGCATTGGACAGCCTGCCTGCCGAGGATCTGAAAGTTAGATCTTCCTCCTCCTCTAGAATTTCAGGCACATTACTCTTTCCTTTAAATAAGACCGAGTAGTTTGCTAAGGAATGAAAGAAGGAAAATCTGTTATGTTTCCAGAAGGCCTTGAATGCTCAGAAGAGGGATTTCATTAGCGATAAATCTTGTTGGTAGAAGTTGAAGAGGTGTAGCTATAAAAGCAGTGGGAAAAGAGGACAGTGTGAATTCTCACTCCTGATTACACTTACGTTCCTGTGTCTAGTTCTTTCCCTTCATCTTTGGAAGTCCTGGACTATTTTAAAGCACTGCATTTACCCTCCATGGTCCCATACCGAAAGCACTAAGGTCCTGTTCTGTAACAAACCTCGGCAGCCTCCACACGGAGAGCTCAGTGATCTGCGGGCGTCACCCCAGATTGTGGCGTGGCTCAGACTCTCCTTGCTTTGTGGAGTACATTTGACTTTGTTTCTAGCAGCTGCCGATGTTGGTTTGAATGCTTGAAATTACTGAGTGTTTACTGTGCCACTGGGTGGGGATTTTAAGCTAAATATAATATTCTGTCTTGTTCACAGAGCTACAAAAAAACTTTAAAAGGAGTAAAAAAAAGCTTTATTAAATCAGAATTATAAGGCCTTATTGGAAAATTCTAAATTTATTTTTTAAAGGATTTTTAAGTGGATTTTACAAGACCAGGAATATATTTACTGTAGCTCTGGAAGTATGCCAACCCAGGTACATTGAAGAGATAAGAATATTCTGTATTTAGCATATCTGTCATATGCTAGCAAGTGCTACCTGAAAACAGCTTAAAGATAAAACACATTTATGTCCCAAGTGACATGGCTTACGTGGTTTTCTGGGTGAAAAAAAAGGCTTTGTAAACAATACATTGTGTATGTCAAGTGTTCCCAGCTCTTTCAGATCTAAGCACTATTTAAAATTATTGAGCTTCCGATGAAAGATTTCTCCTGTTCGGTGAAATTCGCACATGTACCTACATACCACGTATTCGTAATCTACAACTTGCTTTTGATTCTGCTAAGTGCATTTCCCACCAAGCAGAGAACGCTTAGCCATTTAGTAGTGTTGCTTTCTGAGATTTCTTTCTTTTTTCTGTTCCTTTAGAATTAGTAGATCTTCCCTTGGTGAAGTTTGACTTTTCCTGCAACAAAGTGCTGGTGATCCCGATCTGTTTTAGAGAGATGAAGCAGCTGCAAGTGCTCCTGCTTGAAAATAACCCGCTGCAGTCTCCTCCAGCCCAGGTAGGGGCTCCCTGCGAGCCGCTGCCCTGAGCAGCACGCTCTCGCGGACGCTTGGGAGGCTGGCCACACAGCTGGGTTTTCAGTTCTGTGCCGAGTTAATTCCGTGCTAGACATGGTCAGAAGCAGTCGCTACCTCTAAAAAGGTGAAACCTGGTGTGAACTTGACTATGAGAAGTTGCCTTCTGCTGCTTGACATGTTTACTGTCACTTGCTCCATTATTGTGAACACTCCAACCCCCAAAGTATGTGTTTATTTATTATTTGTATATGCATTTGAAACTTTTTCACAGAGGTTACGGCTTATAAAAGGAGTAATATGTTAACACAGACAGTGTATCTAAAAGTGTACAGTCGTCTTCAGTGTTTTATATGATTTTTGGCCTATTAGTCTGGCTGTTAATCTGTGTGTATGATGATTAACTTTATGTGCTGCCACAGAAAGCCCAGATGATTAGCTTTATAAGAAGTTATAAATAAATGAATTTGATGCTGGCAAAAAAAGTGGGGGACATGGAGGGTAAGGGGAAAAAAAGACTTGAGATCTGTGATGTACATGGACCAATTCCCCACAACAAATATAATCCTTACTATACTGCAAACATGTACTAATAAAAATTAAAAAGAAAGTTAAACAAGGAGTAACATTTCTTATTTGAATAATAGCTGAAAGGCAGAGTTTCAATATCTTAAAATGTGATTATTGCGTATATAGAGACAAGGCTCAGGTTTGGATATGAGATGGCCTTAAACAGCATGGTTAATCATTGGAAATACATATGCTTTCAGATAATCAACCAGGTAAATATTTTAGTTTATTTTCTGTACAAATTGTTAACTTCTTAAGTGCACAGTTACTTTTTAAACTCTTAATTGCTTTTTTTTTTTGGTATTGGGACTTGAACTTTGTGCTTGCTAGGCAGGCACTGACACCACTAAGCTATAGCCCCAGCTATGATTGTTTTTTTGGGGCTTGAAAATAATTCTGATTTTTGCTATCATTTGTAATCAGAATGTTATTAATCCAGTTACTTGAGTCTTACACTATTTGCACTTAAGTATTTTTCCATTAGAATTGTGTAGTTTAATTTTAAGTAAGAGTTACTTGAGCATGGTTTTCTGAATACTTTCAGTGGAGTACAACATACAGGAAACAGTTTCCCAAATTCATATAAGTTTTGGAGAGGTCGAATTAAGGATACATTGTTAGGGAGGGTGTTATTGAAATGAAATCTTGAAAATTTAAATGAATAATCAAGTACTGACACATTTTGTTTTGTCATTGGAAAGTAAATAAGTGTTACTAATTTCTCTGTAGATCTGCACGAAGGGCAAAGTGCACATATTTAAGTATCTGAGCATACAGGCATGCCAGATCAAGACCTCTGACTCGCTGTACCTCCACGCCATGGAGAGGCCACATCTGCACCAGCAAGTGGAAGACAGGTGAGGCGATGCCTTCCTTCACTCGGGCCCTGTTCCGAATCTGTTTAGGCTACAGGTGCCCATGTAACTGATTTCAAAAATCTACGCATGGTGATACACACTTGTAATCCTGGCACTTTGGGAGGCTGATGCAGGTAGATAGCCAGTTCAAGCCCAGCCTGAGCCACTTAATGACTTAATGAGACCTTGTCTCAAAATAAAAAGTTCAGGCAGAGGTGGGGAGTAGCTCTCTGTAAACACCCTGTGTTCAGTCGTATGGTTACACACACACACACACACACACACACACACGGAAAAAAAGGAAGTGAAAATGGAAAACATTATCTTCCTTTTTAAATTAGATCACAGTTATCTGAGAATCTTCAAAAAGGCATCCCTGGTTCAAGTATTAGTCTCACTCAGCCAATTAAAATTTATGACTCAACAGTTTGAAACTCTCAGAATAAAAAAAAATTGATGCTGTTGAACATTTGTCATCTCTCAAATCCCCTCTGTCATCTTCTCATCAATAATTTCTTTTGCTTGAATGAGTGTGTAGATACTTATGAATAAGATGTGTGATATAAAAATGAGTATTTTTTACTTCTCATTTTGGGTAACTACATTTGTCAAGTTCAGATATGCCTGTTAAACAGTTCTTAGTTTTCCATATGATTACAGAGCATTGTTAAGACAAGCTGCTGGCTTTATTTTGTAGTTGTCTTTTAAACATGCAGTATGTATAACTTTTTACCACTTCCTGTTTTGAGTGGATGTGTTAGAATCCTTTCGCACGTTCTTGGGCCATTTGTGTCATAAATTGGGCTTTGAGCTTCCAGAGAACAAAATTTCCACACTGAACACATTTATAGAAGTGTAAATCCTTTTTGAGGAGTCTTCACTATATAAATCTTTTCCTTCACTTTTTGCTGAACAAGATGACTTAAAATTTCAGATTCCTATAACTACACTTTAAATAATGTTTCAGATATGTTTCTGTCATTTTGTTTCTATGATACCATTAAATTTAATCACTGAACAAAAGTATACAAAACTATTTGAAAGTAATACTAAACTAAAAGATAAAAAGTTATTTAGCTTTGCTGCTTTTTTTGTCTGCTAAAATAAGAACATTGGTAACTGTTTCAAAGAGATAACTTGAAGTCTAAGGAAACAAACACCAAGAATTTATCTTGTGTACTTAGATAGTACAAGTGTATAGTTTTCATTAGGCATGTGTCTTAATATTATTAATACTGGACTAATTTGTTGGCTAATGATAATAAAATGTGTATAGCAAAGTTATTATTAGGATATAAAGTGATGTATCTTGGTGTGAACTCTGTGATTTTCATTTTTCCTGAATGAAATCATATTGATGGCATCTACCCCAGCAAGAAGGATTCTGACTCAGGAGTTGGGAGTGATAATGGAGATAAGCGATTGTCTGCCACTGAGGTAAGACCGTGATCAGATTGTTTTCTTATGTGCTTCTGGATAGACGTATCTGCCTGTTGTCACTAAACTCCTTCGTGATAAAGGGCATTGATGTGTGCACGAGACACTGTGGTCGTGTTTGTGAAAGCAATTTAAACTCCTCTAAGGCTTATGTACATATTGGCCACTGTTAGAATACTCTGCATCTTTAATACTTTTTAAATGCCCCAGGAGTCCCTATTTTCTTTTTTTCCCGCTACCATACATTATCTAGAATATGCTTGAGTGGATAATAAATATTATGAATTGACTAAGTGGTATCTAGGGACTCATGGAGCACTTTTATAAATGTGCTTGTTTTTAAGTGACAGCGTGATTTAGTAGGTAGTTGTCACATGCAAACATCAATGTGAAGGAATCAGTACATTGCATTTTGGCAGTTTAAGGACAAGGTAAATACATGAGTACCTGGAGTTTTTATAACATTGATTTTTCTGAAATTCTTAGATTATGTTCTGTTCTGTTGAGTGAAAGTCTGATTATTTGTAAGCTAAGAGGTTTTATAATGACCTTCCTATAGCCTGAAGAATTTAAGAACAAGACACTCTTCATTAACACATTTATTGTTTCATACATGTATTAGACCCCAAAATCTTGCATTAATGTACCACTAAGTGGTGCTTCTTGAACCAGAAAACAAAAAAAGGTAGATGTTATAAGGGACCCTTTTTGAGGGAAGTTACTGAGTTTTTGTCTTTCTTCAGTTTGGAAATATGATACTCTTTGAAGTTGAAATTAATAGGTCATCACTCTATATAAGAAGTCACATTATTATTGTGACTCCAGGATAAAGCATTTCCCCAGTTCTCCTCAAGTCTTTGAGGTTTAATGCATAGCTAAGATGTTTAAATTTCTTCCCACAAAAGACAAAGCAGTATATGAGAAAAGAGCTATGATCCTTAAAATTTGTTTTTAACACAGAACATTTTGAAAGGAAGAAGAAATCATTAGACAGAAAAAGGCTTGTGTCAGTAACAGAAATTAACCCACATGAAACCACGTAGTTTACTGCTGTGCCCTCGTGGGGGTGGGAATATTTAGCACATAGTTCCCTAAGTTGAATTTTAATTCATCCCCTTCGGCTTTATTAAAACCCATAAATTCCCTTAAATGGTCCATTGTTGAAGAAATTACTCACCCTAAGCTTATTTTCTATTAAAATAAAACAGACTCTCTGTTATCCTTTATCTGTCTTCTAAGACTAATTAAGTTCATTAATAAAACATTACACAAAGAACCTCATTATCCGTCTCTTTGCACTTAGTGTAAGTGGGATGCTAACATCATTCTAAAAGGAGCCCAAGGATTTGTTCTCTCCCTTTTAATTAAATGCATATCTTTGGAATTTGCTAAATTTTTTAGATGGGAGGTGGGGAGAGGGAAAAAGAACTACAGAAAATATTATGTTCAGCAGAATAAAATGCATAAATCTTCTCTTTGGCCTTTTCTCACATTATAATCTCATTACCTAGAAATGTCCCCAATAAATTAATTATTTTTAGAATGGTGAGTGTTGTGAATTGTCCTGTACAGTGTTCTGTTTTTCACTTTGGCAAATGTTTTAGCGTCCAGTGTTGCACTTGCATCTCTTTTGTGACTGTGGAGTCCCTCTTCGTCCCCTTCCTTTCGCTGTTGCTATTACTAGATTGATTCAGGATTTGTCACAAAGACATTGAAAGCATGTTTTTCTCAAGCAAGAATGTTTGGAGTTCCACCAATATGTGTTTGATGAATGAAATGTACACTTGTTTTCTTCTGGTTTGTAAATAATTTTGTGTCTGGCTGCAGAGCAAGATACAGTCACCTGAAATGTGTTCTGTGGGAGGTTCCTGGTCCCTGTGAAAGCCTGCCACTAAACAGCAGCACTGAAATGGAGAAATAGGAAAATAAATGAGGTTCCTTATTTCATATGTGACAGAATCATAGATTTTCAGAATGAGTTTCATCATGAGTGTGGGAAAGGAGATCCTAAGAGAAAACTAATTCTGATTACCACATGAAAGTTTTGTTTAAAAAATCTCACAGAAACCAGGTACGGTGGCACATGGCTATAATCTCAACACTCAGGAGGCTGAGGCAGGGGGATCACTGTGAGTTCAAGGCCAGCCTGATCTACATAAGTGAGTTTAAGGCCAGTGTGGACTACATAGTGAGATCCTATCTCAAAAACAAAACAAAAATCTCATAGAATACATGCTTCTTTTGACTGCTTTGTTTGTTCAGCACCTTTATATAGTTAGCACAACTTTCTCAGCCAGAATCAGGGCAGTAAATTAATGCTTACTGTCACATGTAAGATGCAATCTAAGTAAATGAAATACTGTCGTAGAGCTCATAGAGGGGAAACACTGTCACAGAGGTCCTATTTTCTGTGACTAGCCGCATGCAAACCTCTATGTAGTTTTGAAAACAGCTTTGTCATTAAATTGCAGAGTACCACTAGTATTAAAATGATTGGTTAAACTTAGAACTAATGTAGTACATTTACAATTATTCCTTTGTCATGTTGAGTATTACACAGTGCTTTTTAATGTCCTAGCTATCACTCTTAATTTAGAAAAGCAAGTACATGACAAGATTTCAGCTCACAACCTGCATACAGAGAAACACACACAATGTTAGCTTCACAGAACTTCACAAAGTGAGCACATTCATGCTCCGGCTCACAGCTTAAGAAACAGCTCTCGCCACTGTGTTCTCTCTTGCGTGGTCCTTCCTCATGCCGTACTGAGTACTCTTCCCACATTCACTTGGGCCAGATTCACTCTGAACAACTTCCTTTATGCACCTTTAATAAAGCATTGCTACTGTTGAGAGAAAAAAAGGAAGGAAAGGAGGAGGGAAGGAAGGGCAACGGTAGAACCCTGACTCACAGACCAACCGTGAGAATAACCACTCCCTACTTAAAACACCACAGGACGCTAGTGCTGTTTTTGAACTTATGTAAGTGGAAATATCCTTACTACGTCCTTTGCTTTGGAATCTTTTACACAATAGAATGTTGTAAGAATCGCAAGACAACGTTTTATTATAGTGTTCTCTTTATCTCTGCTGATAAAACTTCTTCCCGAATGAAGCAGCGCTCTCTGTGTGTTTAGCCTTCTGATGAAGATGCAGTCAGCCTGAACGTGCCCATGTCGAACATCATGGAAGAAGAGCAGACCGTCCAGGAGGATGTGTGCCGTCGCCTCACCCCAGCTGCAGGTCTGCCAGGCACCGCTCGCTTTTCAATCAGTGCTGTGTTTAAAATAACAAGTGTACAACCACTAATGCCTACTTTGATTTAATAATGATTTTCTAGCTGCCGTCATATATAAAATCCCCAAGCCTTGATAAGATAACACAATCCAAATTAAGTCTAAATGGAGGGTAGTGGTTGCTGGCGGCTGTCACCCAAGTGTGGATCCAAAGACCCACACTCCTTTCATCTGTGACTTCACCGTCCAGAGTTTCCGTGTCCCTTTATGTGAAGCAGGAAAGCGGAGAGCATGGAGGTTTGCTTATGGTGAGGCTTCTGCAGGCGGGGCTGGAATTAATGCCCATGACGTGAAAGAAAGACTTCATTCCACGATGCTGATAGGTTATGTGTTCAGGAATCTACATGACTTTGGACAGTCAGCTGCTCTGAATTTCCTCTCCTGTAAGCGCAGTGATTTGATTAGGTAACTCTAGTCTCCTTTATAACTCTACACTTCTGTAGTTCTTCAGTAGTCACCAAATGATCATTCAACATAGTGACATGCATAGCTTCAAACTCCTGTTCCCTTCAAATCTCTTCAAAATACATACTTCATATCCTCAAGTTACACGGAGAGTGTTTTGGCGGCTCCTGTTTCCTCAGTGGCTTTGAAAGAAAACACTAAAATTTAATGTTTATTGACTTGTGGCAGAAAGTATTTTATGATATACAAATAGTAGTGTATTGAGATATGAATTATCTCCCTGTGACTCTGCTCTTGTTAGTCATGAGAGCTAACTAAAGAAACTCAAAACTTTTGTTTGCTTTCAATTTTTACATTTTTTTAGGTTTAGTGTTTAATAAGATGATGTTAAAACCATACATTGTCCAAAAATACAGTTGTATACAGTACTTATGTACAAATACAACTGTCACCATGTTAACTCAAATGAACTTTGTCACATAACGCAATACAGGTGGCTGTGTTGCAAGCAAATTTTTTTTCAAGTAAAAGGATTCCATAGTCTGCTATGAGTTGGTTTTTTCCCTGCTCTGACCTGGGTGTCCTGCTGGCTCATAGTCTTTAGAGGGTGCTCTTTGTAGTCTTCAAATGGGTCAGCATGGTTCCCCCATGACGTTTCTGTTGCCTCCCGACATCCCTTGAAACTTGTTCTAAGTGGGTGTTTGCCAGCTGAGTATGTGTTTGCCTCTGTCCTGTAATTTCTTTTGTTTGAGGATTTGGAGCTCTTGTGTAGTCTTATCCCACACTCTTCCTTGGGGTTGTTTCCTGAAGTGCAAGAGTCATACTTAACTGATTCTTTTTTTGTTTTTTAATTCCTAAACTGCATAGAATAATACCTGCTAGAGCAGCTGCTCAAAAAATATTTGAATTTGTAATTTGAAGTACTTAGTCACTTATTACCAAGCCTTTTTTTTAATCATTTCTTTTCTTCATTCCTTAAACATAAGGAGAAATTCAGGCCTTAAATTTTAAAATTCAGCTTGGGACTTTCTGTTTCTTTTACTTTTCTTCCTCTCCCTCCTATTTTTAATCTTTTCCTCACATCTTGCAGGGAAGAGAACATTTGAGTCACTCATATACCTTCATAATAGGTAAGAGGAGACGAGGTGAACCAATAGATAGCACATTTACGGATCATCTCTGCTTTGTGCTTCTGTTTGTGAAATCATGCTTCTTCCTTTCTCCGTATTTTCCTAATAGGGGAATTTCATCAGGAATTTCAGCCAGAGCCTTCTCTTTTGGGTGACAGCAACAACTCAGAACAAGAACGAGACCAGTTGGCAGATGGAGCAGATGTTCTCCACTCAGGATTTATGAGCTATATTAAGGCAAGATTTTGAGTATCAACTAATTTTTTGTATTCATGCTCTTCTGTTTCGCACTTCGGAATTTAAGTTCAAATTGTCCAATCCATCAGCTTCTGAAAGTGTAGCATTTCTGGTTTTTGACGTTAGGACCTGACCTCAGCCATGCGTACCTTTGAATTTATCTGTATATGTATGTATGTATATATATGTGTGTGTATGTATATATATATGTTTTGCTCTCATCTGCATTTGTTGCTCAGCTGATTACTCCTTACTAATTTAACAAGTTAGCAAACATAGAGTTACCATCACTGCTCACAAAAAGCTAAAACACACAGTTTCATATTCTCAATATGTTATTGGTGCATATTTTGCTTTAGAAAACAGATTGAATATCCCTTATCCAAAGTGCTTGGGACCAAAACTGTTTTCAATTTCAGAGTTTTCCTTTGGAAATGTTTGCATAGATGGATGACTATTCCTTACCTGAAAATTTGAAATCTCAAATGTTGTAAAATCTATAATTTATTGAGCATTCAAAATGCTGGAGAGAAAAGCAGAGAGTCTGAAAACCTGGAAATAGACTTCTTTGGCCAGATATCTTTAAGGAGACTTATTCCCAAACAGCTGCAGTTGCCGTGAGATGCTGAAAGGGCTTCTGGTTGGTCAGGAAGATCTTTCCTCGGCACAGGAGGAGAGGATAACTGGGCCTGCACGGAAGCCTGAGAGTGAAGTTCTGTTTCGTGGCAGGGCAAGGCACTGTGGGACATTTCTGCCAGCCCGTTTGGAAGGCTGAAGCTTACCGTTTTGGTAAAATACAGATGTATCATGCTTCCGAGTTACCTTGTTGAAGCCACAAATGGGCTGTCGAAACCCATCTGTTTTCCGAGGATCAAGTCACCATGTCTGTGTTCAGCCTAAACAACGTCTCCGAGGATCACCTTCAGGGCCCTTGAGAGGAAGAGCTGACTTTTATAGTACTTGAGGCTCTGATGTACACAAGCTGTCTTTATGCCCTCAAGACAGAAATAACAAACCTACCACATGTGTATGGAACACAGTGATTTAAAATAATTACAAAAGTGAATGGAAGGAACCCAGGCATAGTGGTGCTCATCTGTAATCCCAGCACTTTGGGAAGCTAAGACAGGAGGATTGCAAGTTTAAGTCCAACATGAGCAACTGAGCAAGATCTGGTCTCAAAAAATAAAAAATAGGCTGGCAAGTGCCTTCCTGGCAAGTGTGAGATCATGAGTTTGATCCCTGTTACAAAAACAAACAAACTAAAAAAAACAGCTGGCAGTGTAGCTCAGTGAGAGCTCCTGGGATCAAGCCCCAGTACTGGGGGAAATAAAAAGAATAAAAAGTGGAAGGATGACATCCAGGAAGCTTTACTCTCAGTTGTAATCTGTCCTCTACCCATCAATTATTATTTCTGCCCTCCTCTCCCACTGAGGTCATTTTTAGGGGGCACCTTCATTGTTTACCTTGCTGACTACAGGTGCACCCATCAGCCTCGTGTGCAGCGCCACCCCCTGTATGTCCATGCTCACACCTACACACACTTTCTGTTCTGCCCCAGATATTTTCTTAAGATACAAATCTAATCCCTGTATTCTTGGCCAGGGTTCTCACAAAGCTCTCCCAGATTTCACCTGTTTGTCACTTGGATGTGCATTTCAGTTATAAAAATATGGAAAATTAGGTTTTGCTCCATTTTATCAAAAGAGTTCATCTTAAGTTGAGAATCAAAAGACACTGTGAATAGTTCGTTAAAAAAATGTTCAAATTTAGGTTCTGCAAGAAAATAAATTAATGAGTGGAGAAAAGTATACTATTTCAGAGTATAAGTAAAAGTATAATGATTTCAGGAGGCTTATGGCAGGTGGATATTTCAGGGCTGTGGACGTTTGCAGATTGAATATCAGTCTCAGGAAGTCAACTTGGAAAACGTTTCCAGGTTGAAAGATACTTGTCCTGGAAAGTCAAGCAAAAAATGATAATAACTTAAATAAAACCTAAAACTAAAACAAGGCAAAGAAAAAGTTGGACATGGAAATCAGACCCAGATTGGGCCACTCCGATAGTCTGTAAATGTGTTCTTGATACCCAGAAAGTGTGTCAAATAATCAGGAGCATTAAAAGTTCTGTTTTGCATAAGCCTGGCTTATTGACTGGATTAACATCCTCTACTTTTGTAACTACAGTCTATTTTCATTAGTACGATACTGTCTAAAGTCACCAGGCATATTAAATTATCCAGTACTAAGCCACTGCACCTAGAGAAAATAGAGTTAAGTTCCTGTGAGCCTTTGGTCATATTTTTGTCATCCAATCAGTGCACAACTTTGTTTTATGTGTGTTTCTGCTTAAAGACATCTTATTTAATGTACAGCTATGCGTTGTTTAATGATGGTGATAAACTATGGGAAATGCATTGGTAAATCATTTTGCAAACTTCATAGAGTGTATTTACATAACAAACGTGGCTGGAGCACCACCACACAGTAGACTGTTGTGGGCCACAGTTGTCAGTGCAATGCACTAATAAGAAAATAATATATGGCCACACCTATGGTCTCTTTAAGGTACCTGGCAGCATTCTTGGGCTTCAGATGTAAGACAGCATCTCAATACTGTGTTTATGGACCATTTTAAATGGTGAAATTTTAAAATGGCACAAAAGTATGAAAATATGGTACTAGATGGGCACTAAATAGACTGAGCATGACCTTGGGCCACCTCAGCGGGGAAATTGCACATCTTCACACTCCTGGTGTTCATCCCTCTCCATATCTGTGAATGATTTTGAAAACACTACAAGTGACAATTAGAGCTACAGATAAGTTTTAGTGATTAAGCAGTTTGCAAATGCAGAATCCACTGTATAACCATGTAATTTAGCAAAAAGAAACTCAGTAAGGTTATTGGTATCCTGAAAAGAAGAAAAAATATCTAAGTGTTTTTATACCACCAGCTCCTTTTCATTTTGAAACTGAAAATCAGAAGAAAATACCATGTAGGGCACTTTTACTCCAGGCTCTCACTGTCATCTCAAGAGTGATACAGCGGTTTCTATGCTTGCTTTACTGTGCACTAGATTTGTAATCAGTATAGGAAGAACCTGGAGCCTTTGAGCTAGAGACTGCATTGGAAAGTGCTGGCGTTCAGACTCACTGGTCTTGAGTTAAGTGCCTCTCAGTCCACGTCTGGCATTCTGTCCTTGACAGAGACACGGAACCATTCAGGGATGGCTTCCATTCTAGCACCAGCCTAGTTAAAGCATCATTTCTCTGTGTCAGAGATGAAAGCACGAAATGTGTGAAAGCACCACAGGGGACCTGGTTTTCTCAGTCCTCACCCATTACAGTGTCTTCGGGGAATGACATGGGGAGGGGCCCATTTGAGAGACGTTCGACATTATAAATGTCAGAACTGCGGGATGCATCGTGAGGCTCATCTTTGTTAAGAATATTTATTATGCTTTCTTTTTTCCAACAACACACACATGCATGCAAAGTACACACCCCTTGTCACATGAACACTGGAATGCATGTTCACTTGTGCATGTGGCAGGAATCTGTCAACACCAGGAGTGCTAAAGAAGCAGGAAGCCCAGTTAAGTTTCCAATTTCTGCTCCTAAGCTAACAGATGCTATAGTCCTGAGCCAGGTTGTTTTGATTTTAGTTTTTAATTGTCTAATTTTTAATGGCAGTAAAATACATAACAATGTAAAATGTAGCATTATAGCCATTTTTTAAGTGTTCACTTTGGTACGCATTAAGTACATTTACATTGTTGGGTAGTTCTTTTTACAAAACTTGGTATTCTTTTCATCTTTAAAACCCTATATTAGTCACTTTCCCATTGCTGGGAAACCATATTCATCACATACAACTTAAAGGAAGAGAGAATTAATTCAGTATAGAGGAAGAGAGATGTAAGTGGCTTATAGTTTCAGAGGATTTGGTCTACCGTTGACTCCGGGGCGGCAGCAGCATGATGGAAGGGCATGGAAGAGGAAAGCTGCAGACCTGGTAACCAGGAAGCAGAGGGAGCAGAGAGGAGCTGTGCATAAGAATATTGTATATTCTTCCAGGACACAGCCCCTGTGATTCACCCACAGTGATCTGTCTCTTCCAGCCAGGCCTGACTCCTAAGGGCACATTGAACTATTAATCCACTGCACAGTGTAACACTGCCCGATGGAGTCACCTTCCAAAAGCCCCACCACCGAACTCACAAGATTTTGGGGGGCATTTTATTTTATTTTATTTTATTGTCTTTTTCCTTTTTATCGGTACCAGGGATCGAACTCACGACTGCCTGCTTGCAAGGCAGGCGCTTATGCCGCTGAGCTAAATCCCCAGCCCCATTGGGGGGCATTTTAGATCAAAGCCATGGCATACCTATTGAACGACCTCTTCTTTCCCTACATCTCCTTTCTGCTGCTTAGAGCCAACATTCTACTTTGTTTCCATGAATTTGACTATTTCAGGTATCTTGCATGAGTGAAATAATGTTTATTGTCCATTTAGCTTATTTCACTTAGCATAAGCTCCTCAAGATTCTTCCATCCATGTAGCATATGTGAAAATACGCTCTTTCTAAGGCTGATGTTCCTTTATGTGTCTCTACCATGTTTGGTTTGTCTATTCAGCTACCTCTGGAGACTGGGCTTGCTTGTTGGCTCCAGTGAATTACGCCGCTATAGATGTGGGCCAGAGCAGTTTTCACTGATGACCAGTGGTTCTCAGGAAACTTGTATGTTCTGTTCTGTACACAGGACAGGGAAGAAGACTGTGAAGAGCTCTTACGGATAGAAGAGGATGCGCATTGGCAGAACGAGGGAATGTGAGTGTCTGGGGCCTGCTTACGGGCCACCTTCCTTGCAAAATTCACTTTTGGAGCACACTGGGTACCCTGTCCTGATGTAATTTGACCCACTTTTCTGTGAATGAGTTGATATTCTTACCCAGTGATAAAAAGCTGCCAGTTTTTCTGTGTCCCATGCTTGTCACAGAATTGGGCTATATGGTGTGACTTAGACTGTATTATGCTACTGTAATGCAGTACCATAGACTGTTGCCATGTAGATACTACACATGTATCTGGTTTGCAATTTTAGAAGTCAGGAACTCCAAGATGAAGAGGCTACATATACTGAGGGCCTTTTGGCCGCATCATACATGGCAGATGACACCACATACCAAAAAAGTGCAGGAGAGAGAACAAGAGAGACCAGGAACCCTTTTAAGGAGGAACCCACTGCTGTGTAATGAGATTACTTCTTTCATGAGGTATCTTAGTTACTTCTCTTGATACCGAGACACAGTACCTGACACCTACAGTGCTAAGGAGAAGAGGTTTATTTTGGTTTACAATTTTTAGAGGTTTCAGTCTACAGTTGGCTGGCTCCTGAGCAGGGAGCTCATGGCATAGGAGTGGGAAGTAGCGAGAAATCAAGGGAGGAGAAAGGGAGATAGACTCTTTCGGGCCATACCCGTCAGTGACCCACCTCCTCCAACCAGGACCCAGGACCCTTAGTAGCATCACATTTAGCTATAAACTCATCAATGTACTAATCCTCTGATGAGTATCACATTCCCACGATCCAGTCACCTCTGAAAAGCCTCACCCGTGAACACATGAGGCTTTGGGGGGGAACATCTAGATATAACTCATCACATAAAGTCGGAGCCCTAATAACCTTTTAAAAGGTCTCACCTCTCCACTGTGGTGTTCAGGCTTAGGTTTCTCAGACACCTTAAACCATAGCATTGTGCAAAACAGTACCTCTTTGTAGGCCTAGAGTTTCATCTGATTTGAGATGGTGAGTAGAAATGTCATGCAGAGAATTAGCTAGTATGTCCATCCTGAGATTTTACATTCCTTCATTTGCCTTAAGAAGTCAATGACTGGACCAAAACATTGTACTGCTAGAATTCTTCACCCAGGGATTTTTGGTTTTAAACCTTAGAAAAGCACCAATCTCTAATGACTTGGTCCCAAGTCTAGTACCTGTTATAGATAACAGTAATATGTGCAAGCACAATCTTAAATACAGCATAGGTCAGAACTTACTTCATTTTTACCATAATCCTGTGAGATGTTGTCCTCCACTTCACAGATGACAAAAACAGGGTCACAGAGAGATTGTCTTGCCCGAAGGTTACAGAGGACCAACATTTGTCCAATAGGAGTCTTGGCCATGTGAATATCCTCTATAGTCTAATGTCTATGAAGGTTTATTTCGGTAAGATTCACAAAACGGAATAAGTGACTTTGTCAGATGATGAGGCATTTCCAGAGGATCTGAGTTTGGATCTTGGGGAATAGAGTAGATTTTTTTGTTCCTAGAATTATGTTTTCCATGATGTAGAATGGACCTTGCATCATACCTTGTGGAGATCTCCCCACTCAATGAGGATATATCATTTGCTGAATTTTTTTTCTACTTAGAGTCATTGACTTGTATTGTAGTCTGTGGTAGAAACAGCTAAGGTTGATCAAATCTTTCTCACACTTTAAAAATACTGGAAAGTGGGCTGGGGATTTAGCTCAGCAGGCATAAGTGTCTGCCGGGCAAGCAGGAGGTCATAAGTTTGATCCCTGGTACCACACACACACAAAAAAAAACCTGGAAAGTGTCTTTCCAGTTACTGTCTATATTACCACCTATTCACTGGATATACTTCTGTGATTCCAGGGAATCCTAGCTTGATTAGAGAATCACAGGATCCACAGGGGAAGAGAGTTATTTTTAGAACTAGATAAAACTTTGGAAACTTCATTTTCAATTTTACAATTTGCTGTTTTTAACCCATACTGTAAATCAGGATTATCTCTAGAGCTTTATAAAATATCCCAACCTACTAGGTGTCAGACCTATTGGAAATATTCTACCTGGCATGTTTTTAAAGCTACACAGATGATTTTGCTGTATGAGCTTCAGACATCACTGTCCCACACTGAACCTTGTATTGTGTCAAAGTAAGAAACCTGAGCCATGCTGCTTAAACTGGAGTTGGAAGCTGGGCATTAGTGCAGACCTGTCCTCACCGCCTACCAGAAACCCTGTGGAGCTCAAGAGAGCAGGCCTATTGCCTGATTGTGCTCAGGAGCAGTTGGAGGCTATGCAGTGGTGAACCGAGCTGACTTCCCAACCCACAGTCTCTTCCCGCCACACTCTGGCTCCTACCCTGAGGGCACTGATATGTCTTCATTGTCATGTTGAATTTGTCAAAATCAGTTTTACAAGTTTACTCTTAAGAACCTAAATGGTGCTCATGTTTTAATGATCGTTTTCATTCTCATACTTGGTTTATGTTACAGAATAAGTTCATCCAAAGATCAGGACGTGGATATAGCAATGATTGAGCAGCTGAGAGAAGCAGTAGATTTGCTGCAAGACCCCAATGGGTATGATGTCTCCCTGACCTGGCTTTCCTGTGTGAATAATGCCTACCAATTTATGGAATGCATTATCTAGATTTCTACTATACTTTTTGCACACAGTTTGATATCGATCTAACCTCTAACAAAGTGAAGTCATTTTAATTACCTACGTTTCAAGATCCAAATGGGATAGAGTCCAATTTCTGCAGAAATTGAGATCAATTCCGCTTTCTGCCTTGTAATGAAATTCGTTCACTTCTAATAAAGTTCTTATGGGATTTTTTAATATAACTCTTAGAAAACAGAAATATGATAAAAGTGTGTAAAGTTTAAGCTGCCAACTTATAGAAATATAAGACAATTTTTCTAAATGGAAATTAAATAAACAGTACTATATGTATCTGGTAGTGCCAAATAAGAACTTCTTACAATGTCAGTATGCTAACTAACACATTTTTGAAGACTGGTTTTGTAGATTACATTTTAAAGTTGGCCATCATCACTCATATGCACTCAATACAGTTGATATATTTTTTAGTTTCTTAGCTAAGGATAATGGAATTCACATAGACAAAATGTTTTCCAGTAAGGTGATATTAAATATCAGGTAATAACTACATGACTGCTAAGAAAATACATTCAAGGCTTATCTTTAGTAAACTATCCAGTAAATCTTTAGTAAACTATCCCTGCAAATTTAAACATGAAGATTATATGGTTTTATAATAAGATGAGCATGAGAATCACACCATAGCACTCTTAGCTGTGTTCTGGGGATTTATGAAAATGTGGTTAGTGAATCCAGAATTCCAGTAAAAACATTCCGAGAATGTTGTCTGGCCCTGAAAGAATAGTGGCAGGTCAGGTTAAGTATGGCTGGAAATGTTTAGCAATTAATACAAAAAACATTTTAGTTCTGCAGATATCAACTGAGTGCTTAGAACAGGGAAGATGTACAGTGTGTGCCTTGGGCAATATAAAGATGAACAAAACACAGTTCCCGCGTCCTGAGTACTTGTACTGCTTGTAGCTATAAGAGCTAGAGGTTGCCTTGTGCAGTTATTTATAAGTGCAGTTGATTTACGTGGTTGAGCTAGAGGTAAGCAAAATGGTAGAGTGAGTCCTTGACCCCAGTAATGGGGAGATGCCTGGGTTAATCTGCTGGAAGCCTGGGATGTTTAACTGTGGTCTTTAATGACTGGCAATTTTATGGAGAAAGTAAACTCTGGATTGAATGAGAAGCATGGGCAAAGGCATAGAGGCCAGAGAAAATGGGACTGGCTCGGAAAAGGTCTGATAAAACAGAGATTCTCCACCCCGGCTTATCTCAGTATGACTCATGAAACTTTTTCAAAATAGATACCAGGCATGGGGCTCAGGGTTGCCCAAGCTTCTGCTGTGCAGCCAGGACAGAATCATCAGCAAGGCAGTGTGGAGAAGGACAGGGTATATTGGTGAGCTTTCTGGTGTGGTAACAGTGCTGGAGATAAATCAATTTAGACAAGATTTATTTCAGTGCATGGTTTTGGGGGTTCAGTCCATGACTAATGGGGCCTGTTGCTTTGGACCTTTGGTGGCCCATATCATGGTGGGAGCCCTGGGAAAGTAAACGCATTCATCTCATGGCTGGATGTAAAGAGCAAGGAAGAGGAATGGTCAGGATCTCAGTATTCCCTCCAAGTGCACGCCGCCATATGACCCGAGCTCCTACCAGACCCACCTCTTGAAATGTCCATCGCCTTCCAGCAGCACTATAGCCTGGGGACTGAGGCATAATATATGGTCCTTTAGGGGATATTCAGCTCAGCCATAGTGTGGGAGATGGCTTCAGATGCTGTGCTGAGGCGCTGTGACTTTATTTTACTTGTATAGGAAGGCAGTGGTGGTTTTGGAATATGATTATTCATGTTCATAAATCTCCCTAACATTTGACTTAAACCCTGGCTTAATAGGCGTTGACACAAGAATGTTTAAAGAGTTGAATTCCACATAATTGCCTAGAGTAGTTAATAAGAAAGCAGGAAGCAGGACAAGAGAGCCTGTGTGTGTACCCATGTACACACGTGTAAAATTACAATGAATCAGGAAATGGCATCTCTGGTAGAAAGAAGTAAATTCCAAACACAGCTTCAACATCAGTTAATTTAGACACGTTGTATGGATTTTAATTAGATTTCTCTCCCTAAAACAATCTACTACTTTGACTACTTTATTTGTTGTTTATCTTGAAATACTATAATATGTAACTCTCATTTTCAAATACTATTCCAATGTTATAGTGGATCACATGTTAGTAGCCTATTAAAATGTTATTAGCCTGTTAAAATACCTGTCCTTTAACATGGCTTGTAACTTATATTACATAAGAATTTCCTGGCTTTGTAGATCTTTGGGGTGGGTGGAATCCTTACTTCTTAAAACTATAGAAATTCAGTGACTATGTGGAAGCCAGTTGCAAAATTAAAAATACATATCAGTTTACATATAAATGTTTTGTTTGTTTTGGTGCTGGGGATTAAACCTAGGCCATTGTACATGCTGGGCGAGCACTGTACCACTGAGCTACATACCTAATCCTGAATTCTTATTTTTATAGTGATAATATTAGCACATGTCAGAAAGATCTGTTATAACCAAATGTCTTGTTACATACACTGTAACGTGGTACTCTTAGCAACTTGCTTCTCTGAATGCAGTTTTGAGATAAAGTTTAGTATATTTTAGCTCTATAAATTATGATTTTATCAGAAATTACTGTCTTATTGTAAAGAAGTTGGATTTCATTACTAGTAGCAGTTAGAAAATCACATTTAGGGATATGTTAGGAAAATACCATGTAGTTTGAAATTTCTTCCATAAACCTTTCATAACTTAATCCTAAAGATAAATGTCACTTTTCAATGTGTTAAATTTTTGAAGTAAGTATGACCAATTACATTTATAAAAAATAAAAGTTTAATAAACTCATGGAGTCTTTTTTCCTCTGCTCTTTAGATTAAGCACAGATATTACAGAAAGAAGTATTTTAAATCTGTATCCTATGGGAACTGCAGAAGACTTAGAATTACCAGATTCTGCATTAAAGTATGTTTGCCTTTTTACAGCTAAGTAATTTTCTCTTTTTTATTTTTACATTGAAATATTCATGCTTTCAATGTCACTTCATGGGTTTTTTCTTTCCTTATTCTTGTAGTGGTCAAATAGAGCTGGAGACACCGGCAGTGTGTGAGGTAAGACCATGACTTTACAGATGGCCACCGACAGGGGGAACAGAATTTTTAAGAGTGAGGATTATCCATATATTTGATCAAGACCCAATTTTCAACTGCTAGATATTTTTATTCTTTTTACTTTGACTTATTTGTTATATCTCACCTTCCATGGAAGACAAAAGCTGGCAGTTTCTCTCAGATTATGTGAATTTTTTGCATAAAAGATAGTCTGGATGAGTCAGGCAGTGGCCACTGAGATACAAAGGGAACCTACTGTGTCAGAGGTTGGAGGCAGGACCATTCAGAGCAGGTTCTAGAACCAAAAAAAGTCTGGTTTGGTAAAAATAAACCAGAAGAGACCTGAAAAGTAACGACATATGAATTGGAGGTATCCAGGATCAAAAGAATACCATGAAGAGATACTGATGGGGTTATCTGGGGACAAGAAAGTTCGCAAGACCTGCATGGGACTTGGAATTTGAGAAGCTGTTCACATAGCAGTTTTGACATTAAACTAGAGATGAACTTAAAAGGTCCCAAAGAGAAACTGTTATCCCAGTCGTGGAGAGGTAGCTCAGAGGTATAATTCTAGAGTTAGGACTTCTTGCAACCTGTTCTATCCCTTCTTAGTGAATGGGGTTAGGATGGCTGCATTAGCAAAAAAAAAAAAAAAAAAAAAAAAAAAAAAAAAAAAAAAAAAAAAAAAAACATGTACAAACCAACATGTTCACAGAGTATATGGTTTCACTGTCAAGCTTAGGGACTTGGAATTGTGCTGGGGATCAGCCTCCTCCCAAAGACTTGCTAACTTGGGCGAGTTAATTAACCTCTCTAATCTTAGCCTTCATTTTGGTAAACTCGGCTCATAATAATAGCTATTGTAAAGTTCAAATAAGATGATTCAAGAAATGTCGCACAACACAAGGCATCTGAATGTTAGTTCTTATTCTATTACTCTGTTATTGCTTTTGGTGTGGCTTTTGGAAGAAATCACAGTACCACCTCTGCCCTGCAGAGAGGTGTCATTGAATTACCTGCTAGTAGGACAGAAGGATGCTTTTTATTAGCAGGGTGCTCAGGTCTTATTTCCTCAGACTCTCCATTTAGATCTATTGTGGTTCTCTGAAAACTATTTATAAATGCCATATTTCGAAGTAACTTTAAACTGATAAAAGACTGCAAAAAATAAAAGTATGAGTTTCTACACAAGGATGCAAAAAATTAGTCTCATAGTCAAATTTACTAGTTATGAGTTGAACATCCCTAATCTGAAAACTTTTAAGTGAAAAGATACTCAAAAATCTAAAATTCTGAGCACGAATAGAATGCTGCAAATGCACTACAACATATAAATTTATCTTTAGGCTATGTATATGAGAGATATATGAAATATAAGTTAATTTTATGTTAGACAAGGGTCCTGTTCCAAAGATACCATATTACATATTTGCCAGTATTCCACAGTCTGAAACCCAAAACACTTCTGGTCCCAAACTCTACATAAGGGAGACTGAGGCTGTGTTAACATTCTACCTGGCAGTGTTGTTTTTTTTGGCTTTTCCTTCTCTCTCCTCTCCACATAACACTAATTCTTCTAAAACATTTAAGGGTAAGTTTTATTCATCACAGTTTTTACCCTAAAATATTTCAGTGTATGTTTTCTAAGAATGGGGTTTTATCTTACATAATCACAGTTCAGTTATGAACTTCATAGACTTACACTGAGGACAAACACACTTTGATCTCTACCACCCGTGGTCCAGATTGACCAGTTAAATCTAAAACACTCTTCAAAGCAGTGTTCTCCCAGTACAGATATTGCCTTCAGTGTCAGGTATTTATAGTCTCCTTTACTCTGGAACATTGCATAACCTTCCTTTGATTTGTGGCCTTGAAATTTCAGGCTTGCCTGGAGTCACTGTGTAAGCCAGGCAGGCCTTGAAATTTTACAGAATACAAGCCTGTCTCTTTTTAATAAAGTGTCTTTCCTTTGGTGTTTTTTGGGCACTTGCTCATGATTAGATTGAGGTCTGCTGTTTTCCTATTTGGAATCCTGCCCAGGTGACGTTGTGCACACTCAGGGTTTCACATTTGGGAGCGTGGTATGTCTCCATCTGTCCCTCATTGGTCATGTTAATTTAATCACTCAGTTGAGGTGTAACCACATTTCTCCACTGTATAATCATTTTTAAAATTTTCCCTGTGTAACTAAAGTAACTAAAGACTGTGAAAAGATACCGGAAGATCATTTTGGTGGCTGGGCATGTTTGCCCACACCTATAATCCCAGCCCTCTGGGAGACTGAGGCAGGAGAATTGAAAGTGAGAGCCCAGCATGGGCAATGTAGTTACTGACTTCACAAGGCCTTGTCTCAAAATAACAAACAAAACAATGCAAAACAAAATTCTAGGGATACAGTTCAAAGTAAAAGCCTTGAGATAAGCCCTGAGTCCAGCTTGGACTTCCTGCAAGCAAGTCACTGCGTGCTGTTTCTTCCCCAGAGTGAACTCCCTCCCTGCTCTGATCAGGCCAGTTGAATTATGTGCCAGGTATAACCTACCTTGGAACTTGTGTGAAAGCTACCTTGGCACTTTTATTAAAGCATGCTGCTTAATGTCCTAGAACTTATATGAATGTAGATTTTTTTCTTTTTTTTTTTTTTTTTTTTGGTGGGGAGGAATATACCTAGTTTCCAACTGCAAGAATTATCAAGAAGATGCAAAATCTCTAGGAGAAATGATACTGTCCACTATCACCGTTCAACTCATAAAGCTTTATGTTACTTCAATCTAATATAAGAATTTGTTTCTTTGGCTGAGGAGAGTTGTATTTGATGTAAGGAATTCTTTTATCTTCCTTCTTGGGGCAGTTCTCTCTTTGATAAACAGAGGTCCATGATTTTAAAAAGGAAGGAAAAGAAATTCATGAGAATAACGAAAAGAAAGTAAAGCACTGGATTCTCAAAACCATCGATCATGTTCACGCAGGTCCTCGTTTATGGGTGGTTACTTTAATATTCTCTCTTCCACCTTACTCAGGAAGACAGCAGCATCCTTCAGCGTAGGCTTCCCCCTGGTTCGCCACTTGTTGAGGTTCGCTGTGGAGGACTGGAGTGTGAAGGATGGCAGGTGGTCTCATTGCACGGGACAGATGTTGAAATACGTAGGGAAGAATATGAGATGGCCTGCAATCCCCAGTGTGCTCTGTGCTCTGGGAGACTGCACAGGGCCAGAAGTCTGAGGAGAGGGGAGTGGACTCGGACTGTGTGGCAGAGGCCAGGAGACAGCTGTGCAAGGCAGCTGTGGTGGACTCGGTACCCTGTGGAAGCCAGGAACCACGATGAGTGAGGCCAGGCTATGGAGCAGTCTGCAGTTGGGAGCTGTTTCCATCTCTGACCTGAAATGTGCTTTAAAATTTTACATTTATCATGGGGAATTGATCCATGTACACAGCTCATCTTAATTCTTTTTATTTGTCTCCTGCCCCTCCCATCCCTTTCTCTCCTTCCAACTCTTGGTCCGCTTCCCATTTATAAGAGCTCTGTATTCATTTTTTTCTTTCAATTTCTTTTCCTTCCCTGTATTTCTTTTCTGAAAAAGATCATCCTACTTCCTATTATCTATTTTTTTCTCTTCATATTTTGGGTTCCTCATATATGAAAAACTACAACATTTAAGCTTGTGTGTTTGATTTATTTTACTTAATATTATGGTCTCAAGATGCATAAAATTATGAATGTCTCAAGTTCAGCCTTCTTTATGACAGAATAGTACTACATTATGTATAAATACCAAATTTTCTTTATCCATTCATCTGTTGATAGGTATCTAGGCCATTTCCAAAACTTAGGTGTGATGAATTGTGCTGCTATACACGTGGGTATTCATGTATCACTATAATATATGGTTTACCTTAACTCTTCCAGGGATGTTCCTGGGAGGGGAATAGTTAGTTGAATGGGATTTCTATTTTTATCTTTTGAGATAGCTCCATGCTGGTTTCCATAGTGGTTATACTAATTTACCTTTTTACCAACTGTGGAAAGAGTTCTTTTTCCCCTGCTACCTCACCAGCATTTGTTATTATTTAATTTCTTGATGGTAACCATTCATTCTGTTGTAAGTTTTCTCAGTGCTGTTTTAAGTTGAATTTTTCTAATGGCAGACAATGTTGATTAAACATACTTTAGAAGACTATCCTTATCAGATCTGTGGGGTATCATTGTCCTGTGTTCAGGAATAAATGCAAATTGTCTGCTTATATATACATTCTATCAAATAGGAGAAGGTATTGAGAAAACAATAGGAAAAATTAGAGTGAGGAACTTCTTACAGAAAGTATCAAACCCAGAATTACTTGTAACAGTTTTAACAAAGCTAGTAAGCGAAACATTAATGCCACTTTATTTTTAAAATGTTTGAACCTTGAATTCATGTTAAAGTTGGGAACACTTTTAAATAGCACTGCTCGGGAATGAATATCTTAATTTTACATGAATTTGGTGGCATGCGTGAAGATGTTTGTATTACCTGTCACCAAATTTTTTAGTAGAGTAGATCAGTAAGGTCCTCGTCACCGTGTAAAGAAGGTAGATCTGGGACAATACACCAGCATGTACACCTTTTGGGCTTCTTGTCTCTCAGCATTCCTCTCATACTGGTTTTCTAGGATTTTGCCCTCAGGCATCATTTCCCTGAAGAATCTCCCTGAAAAATCTGGCCACCTTTGTAGGCTTATGCATCCCCTAAATAAGAATGACTTCCGAATGCCAAATCTAGAGCTTGTGTCCCAAATCCCTCTCCTTTCTCCCAGTGTTCAGATTTCATCTCCATGCTCCTGTGAGTTTGCACTGTCTGTGTGGCTTAACTGAACTTCCTTTTGAACTGCAGTACCACACACCACCCAGTTATTTCAGGTGAACACTATTACAAGCACACTTTACTATAATTTTCTTTTAACCAGTGGTTGCCAAAGCACATTGATATTGAGCTGATCTCATGAGATTTTCCCAGGCAATTTGGGGTCTAGGCATATTGCATTTATTAAAAGTTCTCAATGTGATTCTGTATGTTTTGGAACTGCTACCCTGGACCATCTCTAAATGCCCATAATTAATTTGAGGCTGGGAACTGGCCTGTACCTTGGTAACCATGCAAGGTAGGCTATTGTTCATGGACTCTTGGAAGTGAACTCTATGCTAGAAAAAATCCTTACCTTAATTTGTGTGATACCTCGGGTATAATTTTTTATGAGTACAGCTGCATACTTTTTAGAAATACTAGTGTAACCTACTTAGCTGCTTAACACTCTAATTAGTTCAGTGTATGTTTATTGTTTTTGACTGAGCCAGGGATGTGATGAAAGTAAGAAAAACACACTTTTGCCTCATCGCTGTGACAGTGTCAAGGAACGTACTAATTTTTTTCTCTTCTCTTCTCAAAGGTGCAAAATGACCTAACATTGCAGAGTAATGGAAGCCAGTACTCTCCAGATGAGGTAAGTTGCCTGAAGATTAATGAAAGCTGAGGTATTCCATGAAGGCTAAATTAGAATATCGTTTATAGAAATGTATAAACTAAGACTGTGATTAATGAGTTAGTTGAGGAGACTCAGAGGAACTCTCATTACGTCCCTCTCCTCTCATTGGCTACCACAGCCTTATCTGGCCCTTTGAATAATGAAGTTGCTTTTCATAAGAAACGTTTTTGAAAACCAAATGCAAGAACGTAACCTAAATAGACAACATTTAGAAAGTCTTCAGCATGTGTTTCTGTATAGATGAGACATCTGTCAGTGTTTCCTCATTGTGTTGAGTTAATGAAAGTCTTTGATACACGTGATCTCTTTGGGATGTAGGTACACACACAGGCTTTCATGCATGCCACTCTGCTGGAGGAAAAAGGGACTGCCACCTTCACAAGATTGCAAAAACACATTTGTAATGAGCAAATAAAAATTCACCCCAAAACAATATTCTGTTGATTATACTCACTTTGCAAATGTACCATTTGCAAAGTGATTTTTTTAAAAGGCAACATCACACAGCAGCACATGTAAACAGGGAGCGCTGTTATAGTAATCTTAGACCGTAGAGAATGATACATAGTTCTGCTTCATATTTTTTACCCTAATTTCCTTTTCTTCTAACTCACAGATGAGAGAGAACTCCCCCACCATGTTTCCTACCATTAACAGTACAGCTCCATTTGGCCTGAAGCCTCGATCAGGTAAATCAAAACCTCAGTCCATGATATCATCCCTCGACTAAATAGCTCGGTGGTTTCTCTTTAGCCTTTGAATTTATCCATGAACGCTGTGAGTTCTTGTAACCTCGACTCCTGGCAGCAGAACTGTATAAGCTCGGGAAGGTCAGAGATTGGAGCTATGATGTTAGTGAATCAGCCATTAGGTCCTGGCTATCAGCACTAGGTAGTTTCTTCTTTTGAATTAGAGCAAAGGAGAAACTGTGGTGGGAGCGTGCAGGTGGGAAAATAATAGCCTACTGAACTTTTTACCCAAGAAAAATAAATAGCTCTCTGTTCCCCAGTGACTCCTGCTGCTGTGCTGAGCGCTGGACTTCTTTGTCAAATATCTCCAGTGGCTTTCTTACCTATGTGTTTATTCATGTAACACAGAGATTACTTCAAGACTTGCGCAATGAGCAGTACTCATGAAAAACATCTTAGGAGAGAGCGTTCTGCTTGTTGCCCTACTAGTGTATTCATAAAAGGAAGTTATAAAAAAGGACTCCCAATAGAAAACTGTGTTTCTTCTGATTTCTCTACTTAAAGTTCTGGTGCTGTCTTTCTTCTTTTAGAGCCTCCTTTGAATTACTGTTTTTGACTTTGGCACACATGGAATACCCAGACATTTTTAAGCCAAAGCTGGTAAACAACTCAGTTGTTCTTGGATTTTCCAGTGAAGCATTTTGACAATAGTAGAAGCTATATATGTGTTTAGTTTGAAAAAAAAAAAAAATGTACCAATAGGAAAAAAACAGATGATTCATTAATAAAGGAAATGTTTTTGTTCTTGGAGCAAGTTGATTGATGGGCAGCATGTGGCCAGGTGTAATGGTTTTCTGGCAATTTGAATGAGCTGTTAAACAAAAAAGGCCTTTTGAGGAAGTGCTTAAGTAAGCCAAGAGTTCTAAATGTTTTGCTTTTGTTTTTGTGGTGCTAAGGCCCTCACACCTGCCAGGCAACCTGTCACTAAAGCCCACCCCCCAGTCCTAGAGGGTGTTCTCGGGAGAGTCATATTGTACATGAAATAAGGCTCCAATGGCTGGCCAAGTGTGGAACTCAGTGTATGTGACCAGATCTGGGCTGTATTTTTACTTCCTGGTCTTGACCGAGTGTTAGGAGAACAAAGACAAATCCAAGAATCCAACCAGCCCTTCTCTGTGGCCGCAGTGAGGACCACCAGGTCAGCACACTGAGCACCTCAGGCGGGAGTGCAGACTGTCTCTTAATGCTTGCATGCCATTTTACAGAATGTTAAAGTATTTCATATTGAGCGAGTCAGAAGCTGAAGGGATCTCTAAAGAACAATTTCTTCTGAATGTGTAGTCTTGGAATGTAGCTGTCAAATTGTTTCGGTGACTTTTTGATTTCTTTTATATAGTCTAGGCCAGTTATCAGAATTAGGTTTTTTCCCTGTAGATCATTTCAGATTCTTTGTAGTGGTAGGAAATAAAGATAGGAATCGTTTCAAATAACGGAAAACAAAGACCGTTTCCTCTTCCAGGCTTCTGGCCTTGAGGTGCCTGACTAGCCAGCGTGCAGACTGTGCTGGTTGTTGAAAGCTCTGTGGAGTTTGTTGCCGAAAATAATACTGGTTATCTTCAGGAACATCAAGTGACACTGGAACTTTATAAAGTTAGCGTTATGTATTTGGATTTTAAGATTTTATGTAGTAACTTGTAAATATTATGTGTTTCCCATGTTTGCTGGAAAATAATGTACAGCGTATCTTAATCTGGGAGCATTTCATTAAAAAGGATAGAAGCCAATTTTTGATTGACCATTTAAAGCTAGTTTTATTTTCAAATTTAGTATGTGAATTTCTGTGATTTGAGGATTATAAATAAAAAGAGACCACTCAAGTGAGCAAATCAGACTAAGAATTTAGGTTCTTAAAATAGACTAATAGTTTACTTCCGAAGAAACATTTTTTCTGTTCTGTGGTTTCTTCCCAAGGAAAGATAGTGCATATATGCAAATATTTATTCCAAGAGCCACACTCATGAACTTTACTGGCCCTGCCTTATGATCTAGTAAAAGCATTGTACAGACTATTTCCTAACTATAAATATCCTGAATAAATATGTATGTTTGCAGTAAAGGAAGACATGCTATCAATTTGTCAACAACCAACTCAGAAGTTCTTGAAACTGATTGGCTGTTCTCTGTTGGTTAGATTTATTGTTAAACATACCCTGTTGATATCCAATACTGTTTCGTTGTTTTTACTGAGCAATATCTAAAACTGAATTGAGATGTATGGTGTAGGTTATAGAAGAGCTGATTGATTCAGCTCTCCATAAAGTGTGCTAGGAAAGTTACTGATTTCTTTAAAATGAAATTCCATTGTTGCCTTGGGGGAAAAAATTCACTAATTGTAAACAAGGATCCTGTAATTATTTTGTCTCTAAATGATAGACATATTTAGATATTTAGTTGTGTCCTTTGTGTGAATCATATAATTGTATTTTCTAAGAGTGTTAGTTGTTCAGAAAGTGTGTGGTATGTCTGTATATAACCTGTGGGTTCTCTTCCTTTCTGCTGACGTGACTCCTTAGTACTCTTACGTCTGCGGGCTTGCCGAACTGTTATTAATGATATTAACTGCATGCAAAATATTTGACTGATGAGTACTAACACTCAGTTTTTTTATCATTCTTTTTATTCCATATGCCATCTTTCATTCTCCTCCTGTATTGTACATTTGAAATTAAATCCCATATAAACGAAATCCACTTCATTTCCATGCGAACCTTATGCCATTTGTGAAATGCTGCGGCCCTTTTTGGTTTTCCCTGGTCCTTGTGCAACTATTTGCGGCCTGGCTCTCTCGCCCTCCTGCAGACCCAGCCCTCATTCTCCCTCCTATCTCCTTCAACAAACTTACACAGGCACAAACATGGGACAACTCTAGCTACAGTGTTCCATCTGAAGGAGACAGTGACAATGGTAGGTGGCTTTGTACCTGTTCTTCAATGTTCTCGTTAATAAGCCAGTGAATATACTGAACATTTATCTCTCTGCAACCAAAGATAGAATATGTTCCCCCTGCATGCTTGATGCAAAAATGAGATGCTGAGAGGTGTAGACAGTGAAGTCCCCCAAAGTGCATGTGAATTGTTTTCTAGCAATTGGTCAAATTATACTTTAACTATCTTGAGCATTCTGATTTTGGGGTGGATTTTACAATGTTTTCTTCTTTACCTGTTCTGCTTGGGTGTTTTGGTTTGTTTGCTTGTCTACAAAGATTTGGGGGTTGCACTTTTGAATTATCTTTGCTTGCTTTCACATGTATAATAAATGCTTTAAGAGTTTGATCTTTTATTATGTATGCTTACCACATGAGGTATAAAGGTAATTAAAACATGTTTTGGCTGATCCTAGAGTGTTGCACTGAAAATAATGTTAACATAGAGAATTCTAAAATTATTTGCCTTCTTTTTAAATAAATTATTTGCACATTTTGATTTTTGATGCCTTCTGGATTATAAATCCAGCTGGATAGTATTCAAAATAAATTGATCTGAGATTAATACTTAAAAATAAAAATTGAGGATTCTCATTCTGATCAATACATATATCATAATTTTGTGCCAGTAAATATTTAAAATAGCCCAAGGGATAAAAATAAAACAAATAGGGGCCAGGGATTTAACTCAGTGCCATAAGCGCCTGCCTGGCAAGCGTGAGGTTGTGAGTTCGATCTCTGGTACCAAAAAATTAAAAATTAAAAATTAAAATAAAACAAATAAAATTATTTAGATCTATGTACCCCATATATCTGAATCCCTACTCTAGTGTAACCCTAGTTCACCTCTTAAACATTCTACTTCAAAATACAAAGTGGTAGAACTTTGGTTCTGGTGATGAACCTAACTTTGTTAGGTTAAATGAAACAGTGATTTCTAGGGAAGTAAGTGGATGTGAGATATAACCATGATGCAAATACAGTAGGGATATGTATTTTCTGATTATACAGCATCATGAAACAAAACTCCCTCCTCATGCATCACCCAATTTCTGATGTTGGAAATTGAAGAGGACTATTTGAAACTTGATACACTGGTTCTTCATTTAAAATTTTTTTTAAAAACTTAAGGGGGAGAATTTTTGTTTTTCAGAAAGAGTGGCTATTTATGAGTATGATATTATCTAACGGAAATAAAGCACACTATGAGAAATTTATGTGTGATTTCCCTCGAAACGATAATCTGAAACCAGAGCGCTTTTTTAAAGCAGACCCAGACTTACACCTTTAAGTTTCTGTCCACGCAGATGAACTGACTAAAACCACAGCGCTGAGCTGAGCTCCGCGCTCACACTGTTGGGCCCCACCCCGGGCTCCTCACTCTGCAGTGCTCCTCTCCCACAAATCTACAGATGTGTACCGAGGTCTCAGTGTGCAAGGTACTAAGCCAGGCCGCCTACTTTTTATTACAACATCTGAGATTTCCGTAACAAATAATCCCCATAACCATCTTTCTCGAAAGAAAACTGCCTCACATGTGTTATTTGGAGTTTTTATATGGGTGACAGTTCCAGGAATTCATAGGCACCTATCTTCCTGTTCCACGGGGATCATAGAGGGCTTGTTTTCAGTATTCACCCTGCTCAGTCAATCATGTCTGATGTTTGGTAGTTGTCACTTTTCTCTCTTGGCAGTCTGTAATATGCCTTAGGCAAGAGAAGATTTGCTGTACAGAAAATGTTCTCTGCAAAAATATTGGTGCAGGTTCCCAGATCTGATCTTTCATGCACATCTTTGTTATTTCTGTGCTCAACATTGCCTTACGATGTGAATGTTTCCTAATAACCTTTTTAAATTAAAGAAGCACTATATGTCCCCAAGTACGCGAGCGAAGGTTGCAGGAGGAATTCAGCCTACTTTGTATGTTGCACAGGCTTCTTTCTGAATAGGAAGTTTTACTCCATTGTCTGTGTCAGTATTTCAGAGCTGATTATCACATCGCTTTTGTTTCCTTGTAGTTTTCCCATTACCCAGGATCTGCAGCCTTCTCAACCTTTGTAAATAAGGCGTATCTTATCACCAACTTGAACTAACATAATGTAACATGGTTATTAATTTTGGAAAAACTTGGTATTTTTATACCTTGTTCACTGCCTCGTTTCATATAAAAATTCTTTTATTTTGCGTGTTCCAGTGTTTTATTTCAATTCTGTCTCATGTTAAATTCACCATTTTTCCTATTATTATTAGTAGTAGTAGTAGTAGTATTCAAGGAATCATTTTTAAAATGGCAAACAGGTCAGGAGAGCCTGGAGAATTTAGATTCCCCTAGTTGCCAAAGTTCTGCTGTCTCTGATGCAGGGAGGCCAGTTTGGAAGTTCATCGGAGGTCTGCCTGCCTCGAGCCTGTTCTTAACCTGAAAACTTGCCTCCGCTCCTCCCCTCGCGCTTACTCCCTCGTAGGACTCAGTCTCTTTCCCCTCTTCACTTTAAAGTTAAGACCTTTCCCTTCTTCTTTTGAATCATTGTTGCATCTTCATTTGCATTGAGCCATTGGGTGCAAACTTAGGCTTACTTTTTAAGTTATCGCCTGTAGAGAGGAGCTTTGAGCATTTCAAAAGCAGAAAATGTGTATAATTCCTTTTTGGTACCAGAAGAAAATGAATGAATGAGCTTGTTAAATTTTTAACTCACGGTAGCCTGAATCTAAAATTCATAATTTTTTCAAAGCTACTGTATGTCTAACCTTGAACTTATATGTGTTTTTCCCTTTTTAAATTTGCGGTGCTTGGGATAGAATTGGGCCTTCACATGTGCTAGGCAAATGCTCTTCCATGGAACTACATCCCCAGCTAGATTTGTGTAGCATAAACATTACACTAGCCCAGGTTCTTAATTTCCAAGAACATGAGAACTATAATTCAAAACCTCCCTTTTCCACAAAGCAGACTTTAGCCCTCATTTGGTTAAATTTAGGTAATGAAGGTTAACAATTAGATTGATGATTTGTTATACAGGAAGTACATTTAATGTAAGAATCAAGTGATAAAATGCATTTCAGCCACGTTTCAGAGCCATAACCTTTTTTTTCTTCAACTGAAACGTATTCTTTAGAACAATTAGAGAAATTGAACAGTTAGAAATTGTTGTTTGTACACATCCTTAAATAGCTGTTGAGTACTTAAGAGGCAACCAGGCATGATACTCATGATGGATACAATTCTGAAAACCACAGACATAACCTCTGTTCTCATGAATTTGGAGTCTACTGCGTTCATACCTGGAGACTAAGGTTAGGAGACTTTTTATAAGAGGAAAAATTCAGATCACTGATTATCAGGACAAGAGAATTTCTGCGAACGTGACCATTAAGTAGACTGATCTTTGTGTGAGGGAATTTTTGAGTTTCCTTTTATCATTAGCAAATTCCTGCTGCCTAACTCATTACTTTGTGCGGCAAGATAGAGGATACAAATTGGAGACAGACATATGCTCTTACGATTGTATAAGAGAGAAATATATTCATACTGTAATAGAAAAAGTGACGAGGGCTGTGAGACGCAAATAAAGACTTTTGTATGTTCGCAGGAGAGAGGAGTACAGACAGTGTGAGTGAGGGAAAGGCGGCAGTGTTGGAAACATCAGTGGAATTTGCCCTGACGCTGCAAGGTTGATCTCGACCTATTCTGCATATCATTCTTTCAGGGCTGTGTTTAGAAATTTGTGTCTTCTGCTAAACATATTACATATCTGAGCAGATCTTTTTGTATTTTAAATGCTATAAATTTGCTCTATAAAAAGCAGTTAAGAAAAGCTCATTTTCCCCAGCATTTTAAATCATCTACCCGCCTTCCTGTGTGTGCACGGCCACGCTGCTCTCCTGCCCCTTATTTTCCTGTTTATGCTGAAATAGTCAGAGTAGTGTTTAATATGAAAAGCAGGTGCTAACAACAAGGCCGTCTTTAAATATTGGCCGGTAGCCTCCAACTGAACTTTTATTTCCCTGAATTAAGTAAGCGAGTTCTTGAAATCTAAGGTAGGGATATGGAATTAACAACAACAAAAAAAAAAAAAAAAAAAAAAAACAGTAATTTTTCCATGAATAAGTTTCCTGAGGTTATGGTCCAGATTGACCAGTGGATTTATTACTAAATATTACTTGAAATAAAAAAATCACAAGGAGTTCTTAATACTCTAAGTAGAATGATTCTATCATAACAAATCCATACAAAAAAAAGCTGGCAGATTTATTATAAACCTCAAGAGTTTATTCTAGGTCCTCATATATTCAATGGAAATTAATATATTTAGTAGTCCTGTAGTCCTGATTTCTAATTTCATGTACATTCAAAGCCTTTGTGTTGAAAAACTACTGTTCACATATTTTTAAACATTTTTACTAGCTTAACATTCAGAAAGAAAGTATCCAGACATGCATGTTGTATTTTTAAGATGCACAGGAATCTAAAATGAAGAGTAACACAGGAAATTGAAATGCGGACACCGGCACATTTTCCCGAGCTTCCTCACAGGCCTCCAAAGGCACAGACGCTTGAGCAACGTGCTGTAAAACAAAATCTCCTAGTTCATGAAATGTCCTGATAGTTTCATATTCAGAGTGAAAACTGCCAATAAAAACATATTGAAAATATCAAATATGCTGTATTAGATAAGAATACCCCAGAGAAAGGTAAAGGAAAATAAAACCTCCAAAGAAAACATGAGGTTTATTTCCATGACGTTGGGGCGCCCCTTGCTGGGGTATATGTGTATTACCCAGAGCTGTCCACATTCCTTGACTTTTTTTGGTAAACACGGTTGAATTGTTTCCTTCGGAGATACAGATTATTTCTAGGTTGTACATTTTAATATATTGATCTTTGAACTGCTGTGTTGGAATGGGTAGGTTTTTTTTTTCTGGAAATTGTATAAAGGCAAATTTAATAAATTCTCAGTTTCTTCCAGGTACCCTCATTTGTTAGACTTTTCCCACACTGCCTCTGCTCTCTGAACTCGCCATCTCTCCTGGCCTCTCTTTCCATCTGGTGCTGACCCTCACTCTACTTTTTAAGCCATCAGTCCCACTTCCTGTAGGCTTTGGCTCTTAAGCCTCAGTTATCAGCCCTCCTTTGACAAGATGCTTTTTGCTCTCTTTGCCTGGGACTTGCCTAGTGGCATCCAAAGAGACCCAGGCCACAGGGTGTCTCCTCGGGAGGGTCCAGAAGGCTGAAGACCGGATGGATCATCTTCTTCACCATTAACTAGGAGTCAAGGCTTTAAGATGTGTCAGCTTTCCAATATTCCCTGGAAATTCACAATTCTGATTCAGATATCCTAGTACTGATTTAGGAAGAAAATCCAAATTAACAGATTGAAATTTAAATGATATAGTTAGGTGCGCGTAGGCTAGATGATAGATGTATAGATGCTCTTTTTCTTTCTTTCTTTCTTTTTTTTTTTTTTTTTTGTGGCACTGGAGATCAAACTCACGACCTCGCACTTGCCAGGCAGGCACTTATGCCGCCGAGCTAAATCCCCAGTCCCGAGCATAGGATATTTAATTATATGGAATGGATGCAGGCCTGTTCATTCAAGATACTATACTTGTAAGCCACATTTCATTTTTAAAAGTCTAATATTGAATTTCTAAAATGGGTATCTTTATCAGAATAGAATAAAAGTTGCATACTTTTCTTCTTTGACAGCACTGTTCAAATAATAATGATGGAAACTACCGTGATTACAGTTTGCCAGTGCAACCTTCTGTGTGGTACCGTACTGATTTTTAATACTGGAAACATTTGTCCAGAATTTCCTGAAGGTCTCCCCTGTCTTCCCCAATCTGAAAATCTACCGGCTAGGGAAATCAAACACAGCTCTTAACAACTCTTCGCTCCCACTTATATACATGGAACGTCTACAGTCAAGGATAAAACTCTCTATGAACAAAAAAAATCAAGTTTAAATCTTCTTTGGGGTTTGTGTCATTAAAAATTAATAAAATAGGGGTTTTTTGGTTTTTTTTTTTTTGTTTTTTTTTTTTTTTTTTTTTGGTCTTCTGGATTGCTCTCTAAAGGTTGCTATCCTCTAGACATTAATTTTATGTTACCGTTTGTATGGTACTTGGAATTGAATCTGGGACCTCCCTGTGTAGGCAAGTGCTGTACCTCTGAACTGCGTCCCCACCTAAGGGGTGGTTTGGTTTGATTTTGGTTTCTTGTACTGGAAATTGAATCCAGAGCCTTCACACAGAGCTACATCAGTAGCCCTTTTTCAAAATTTTGAGACAGGTCACACCATTTTACTAAGTTGCCAGGCTGTCCTCAAACTTGCAGTCCTCCTGCCTCAGCCTCCCAGAGTGCTGGGATTGCATGCATATACCTACGGGAAGAAGCATTGGCATTATGTACTCTTCTCAGGGGTTAGAACGTTCAGGGCCTAAAGCCTGTGATGATTTCTTAAATTGTCTCTAATCCCACAGGCCTTCCTGAAAGCAGTCTGTCTGTGTCATTTCTAAAGAGCTGACTTTAGGGTAACTGACATGGTAAAAGCCAAATTTTTCCACTTCACACTCAAACATGTAATCCTTTGTATCATCACTTAGCTTTTACTCAGGCTTCCAAAAACGTTACGCTAACAGAAACACTAACCTACACTTATTTTTAACATGCAAAGCAATTCTGGGACCTTCTTGAGATAAATCATCTGAATTTCATGAGGCAATTTGAGTGGAAATTAAAACATAGGACGAAGACAGTGGAAAACATGAGCGGAAGGGTATCTGTCCAGGAAGACACTTCCCTGGGTTCAGGTTATTGCTAAAAAGAAACACAGCTTTCTTGTTTAATACAACCCAATATAATTTAAAATATAATCTCTTTTAGAATATTTGAATCAAGCTATCCGTGTGAACTCAGAATTTCTTTGCTCCTGTGAGTGGTAAATAAATTATTTGAATGAATAAAGAGATTACTTGTTTAATTTAAATAAGAACAGCACTGTGTTGGGCAACCTATGCAAGGCCAAATCTAAAGGATTTTCTCCCCTTTTTGTTACAGTGTTTCAAAGACCTCAAAGAAACCTGGAGTCTATAGATCCGCAGTTCACTATTCGGAGAAAGATGGAGCAGTTACGAGAAGAAAAAGAGCTCGTGGAACAACTCCGTGAGGTAAGCACAAAAGACTATCTTGACTCAGTAATAACTTTCAGAATTGAAGCAGCATTTTATATTTTAAAAAAATAGACTTTGGCATATTGCAAATGATGTTAGTTTCAAACCTAGTTAGGTCCCTTACTGACTGCCATTGGGGAAATCACAATTATCCTGCATTTCAGTTTCTTCGTGTACTGAAAACATAGTTCTGCCTTAGTGGAGTCTTGGAAAAAATGCAAGAGATGTTGAAAAAATACAATAATGCTGACATTATTTCAATTCTGGTGTACTTTAAATACTACACTGTCATTTCTTTGCTTAGTAATAATATTCCACTAATTTATAGATGTTTGTAGTTGTCCTTACTTTATATCCCATGCTGGCCAGGGCTTTTCTGTTAATCACTTGACAGGCAGACTGTTTGAGCTCCTCCTACATCTGGAGTCTGACAGTAGGTACTGCTGACACTTTTAGGGTTGGTAATGGCAGGGAACAGGACTGTAACTTAAATTATTTATATTCAAAGCATGGTTCCATAGCTATGACTCAGAAGAGGGTAAAGAAAGCTTCTTCCAGGTCTCCTTTCTCTACTCTGTCCCAGTTATTATACTGGGTGATGCATATAGGTGAAAACAAAAAAGGCTATAGAATATTGGAGATAAATAAGTTAAAAATAACAAAGACATACACAAGGTCAGATGGCAATGACATATATCAAGGTGTAATGCATCCTATCTATAACATTTAAATGGAATTAAGGTAGACCAGCATCTCTGTTATTGCAGATGATACGTCATAAATGGTTTATCAGGAAGTTAGGAGGGAAAAATTAAAAAAAAAAAACATTTAATGAAGTCTTCCCACCGCATTAACTCACTGGGGTTGATTCATAAGCACAAGGAGAAAGTCAGATGTGTCATTCGCCAAGAGGATTGGAATATTCTGTAAACTTGGAAGATAAACTTTTCAAGATGTATGAAAATAAGACTGAAGTTGGCATAGGTCTCTTAAAGAATGATTTTTTCATAATTTTATGAAAAATTTCCTAAATCTGGGTCACACTGCTCATTTATGCTCTGGTGACATAAAGCTAGAAAATGAAGAATGTCTAAAAATTGAGTGTCTATGCACAGGGCAGTTCTGAAAGAGATTTATATAACCCCGTTATACGCACTGCTTTTCAAGTTTGCATTTATAACAAATCACCAGTTAAGCTATCCACTCTTAGGCGATTATCCAGTTAAAAAGAGCTTCTGTTACAAACCAGAAAGTTTTCTTCACGGTTTTAAAATTGACTTCGGTACTTTGTCTTCTAAGAAGATAGAAGAGACATATTTTCCTATTCCTTCCCTAAAGCCTTATGCAGTGTGTATGAAACCAACATTCAAGCACTCCAAAAGGATAGAGAAGGCAGGCTGGCTCAGGACTGGAGGAACAGCATGGCTGTGAGCTCTAGGCACTTTCTTGTCTTTGGATATCACAAACTGGGAGCTGACAGAACTAGAAACATCAATTGGGCTCAGATTTTTTTTTTTTAAGAGAAAGCCTTAACAAAAACCTGCTTCCTCTAGCCACACAACCAAGAAATGGGCAGTCTCTCAAGACCAAAATGTTTAGATAATAAACGCTCTGCTTCAGCTGAACACCAAAGGAAAGAATGGCGGTCCCACCCTCTCCACTGCAACACGGCCAAGTCAGGCTGCTGGGCTTGTGTGCCACAGGGGTGAGGGCAAAATTGGAGCCAGAAATTCATCCTCACACTAGTCAGAAGCCCTTTGGTTCCACAGTGCCAGTGAAGACCACCTGAAGAAGCTGGATTTTCACCTTTCCCTAGCTGGAACTAAATACACCCTTACCCCAGGCTGCTGGCCACTGGAGACCAAGAGGAGAACCTAGACTTCTGCTCTGATCCATCCAGCAGTAACTAGTTGGAATTCTCCCTTCGCTGCCAGAGTGGCATCCAAAAATATAGACAGCTGAATGAAACAGGCTTAAACTGGCTCCAGAGTCTCACAACATAGCACAAAAGAAAAGCTGTTCAGACTTCAATGGGAAATCATGCATCACACCTAGAACCAGGACAACTGCAAGCCAAATGAAAAATGACGGTTCACAGATGGCTACTTTGACATGACAAAGACGTTACAAATTACTGAGAAAAGACTCAAACAGCCACAATAAAATAACCACCCAGCAATGGCAAACATGTTTACAAGAAAGGAAAAGGTAGAGCAACTCAGCAGAGAACTAGAACGTCTCCGGCAAAGAAACAGAAGATCAGGAATACAAAAAAGAGACAAATGGGACTTTAGAACTAAAAAATACATTATCCAGAGTAAAAAGCCTGGTGGCTGGGCTCCACAGCAGGAGAGAGGAGACAAGGAAAAGGACTGGAACGCAGGTGACAAAGGAAACAGAGAAATGGTCTAGTCTGAACAGCAGAGAAAAACAGACCGAAAACTGTGAACTGGCCTTGGGGAACTTCGGAGTGTAGTGAGAGATCTCAGCTTGTCCTAGAGGTTGGAAAAGGGAAGAAGACAGAGAACAGGGCGGAGCGTTTTCCACGGGGGAGAGGTGGGTGTGGCATGGAAGGTCAGCAGGAGGGACCTTTGCGGTGATGGGAACTGTCCATCCTGACTCTAACATTAGTATCAGGGGGCTTCGCAAGTTCCTGCCATTGAGGCAGCTACGCGGGGTACGTGAAATCTTTCTGAACTGTTTCATATAACTGCCTAGGAATCTAGAATGCCTCAAAATTAAGTTTACTCTTTTTAAAATGACAGTAATTGATATCTCAATTACTCAAAATAGAGCCCATGAGAAAAGCATCTCTTTATCCCTCTTCTACTCCATGAAGAATACATTGCTTGTATGTTTTCCTCTCCAGGGCCAGAGAAATTTGAACTCAATTCAGATTTAAAAACTTTAGATACAATTAAATTTGGCTCTGTACAGTGTTTGAAAAAAACTGAAATAATGTCAGTGATCCCTGAGCATCCTCACTCTTGTACCCAAAACAAAACTGGCTCATAAAGGCTTGCAGAGGTCTGGTACTGGAGGGTGTCCATAGCAACCGGCTTTCTTGTTCCCCCCACAGAGCATTGAAATGAGACTGAAAGTCACTCTTCACGAAGACCTGGGGGCGGCGCTCATGGATGGCGTTGTGCTCTGCCACCTGGTCAATCACATCCGCCCGCGGTCTGTTGCCAGCATCCACGTGCCCTCCCCGGCAGTTGTAAGTAACACCCTCCAAAGGGAACTAACTTTGAGCTTCGGCAGACTCCTGTTAGACAGTGTGATTGATTAGGAGTGGCAGCATAAATTGGCCCTTGCTCCAGTCCATTCTTTTGGGCCCCAAACAACTAGAAGAACAGAATGGCTCTGAGTGAAGCTATGTTTTCACTGAAAAGGGAAAATATTAAAGTAAGTGTAAAGTCAGAAATTAGCTTTATTTCTGATATCACATTTAAGGAAATTACTGCTAACTTTAGGAACATCAAATTAGAACATATAGGAACATAAAGGTCCATTTCTCACACAGCAGTTAAACAGTGAGAAGTCTTTTTGGAAAGCTCCTTTTGGTTGATAGCTCCCATTTGACCTGGGATCGAGTTCCTTTATAGTCGTGGGAGACTTTAGGATAATCCTGTAAACACATGCAGTCTGTGGAAAATGTCATGACTGCCGTGTGAAGCCATCGGTCAGTCAGCCTTTCATGAGTTAGACTCCATCGCACTGTGCTCAGGAACTTGCTGAAGATGGTGAGGAAGTGTGGGGGGGAACAGGACTCCATTAATGTCCCCAAGCTCATCCTCCATGTACGGGTGGTAAAACCCGAATGTGGGGTCCCGGTGCTGGACACTCCAGGGCATGGCTTGGGCCAGAGAGACCTCCAGAGTCTATTCTGTGGTTGCTTGGGTCAGAGGAAAGGAACTGATGAGTCCACACAGAGACAAAAGAACAATTTCTACTCAGCTTTTGTTGGGTATTGGGAGAAGCAGAAGCTTTTAGGGGCTAAGATTATGAGGCTTGAATTAAAATTCTGAATCTGCTTCTAAAAATCACATGACTTTGGAAATTGTGTATCCTGTCTTTAACTCCATTAGTTCTTCTCTATAATAAACATGTTCTTCAGAAGAGGGTATTCTTATAAATAGGAACCACTCATGTCATTAGTGTTTATAGACAGCACATTTTCAAGGTTCAGGATGTCTAATCTCAAGGAACTGTACAGAGTTCATAAAATGCTTACCGTCCATCTGCGCGGTAAGCAGAGCTGTTGAGGTCTCTCTTTCTGGTCTCCAGGAAGGACTCATGATGGTATTACTTACCTTATTTTGTTTTCTCTTGAAAGTAGAATATTAACTTACGATCCCAATCCAACAGTTTCCTTTTTATCGTGTTGTTTTTCTTAGTAAAAGCTTGACTTTTTCGCCTCAGAAACATAAAGGAAAAAACTACTTTGGCACCTCTTCCAAATCTGCTTAGAGGCACCGTTAATGTGGGACAGTAAATTCCACTTTGAGATCCCATATGAAATCTTCCAGAATCTATTGGAAATGGAGTTAAGACTGTCATAACATTGTCTGAACTGTATATGAAACTCTCTTTTAATTATTGTTCCCAGTTCTATAAGAGACACTATGGACTCCTCAACTCCCACTGGAATGTACAGCCATCGTTCACAAGAACTATCATTTTACAAGGTGTTAGAGGACACTATCAGTCATGAACCTATATCCTTTGCATAGTTTATCTTTCAGAAAAAAATGCTATATTAGTTTAGGAATCATTTTTTAAAATTTTGTTAACTTGAAAAAAAGTAATAAGAAGCAATGCCCAGTGGGGAGAAAAGAGAAAAGAGAGTAAGAAAATAAATAAAAAATAAAAGTAAGTTGCCCTGTATCTTGTTGTTAAAGACAATTGTTGTTAACCTTTTATTTTCTTTACTCTTGACATTTTCTGTATCTTTAAATTGGAGCTTCTTATAGGGACTGTCTAGTGATATTTAAGTTATGATTAAAACCTAAGTATTTCCCCATCATTAAAATTCCTTCTAAATATCTGCTTTGATACCTGTAACATACTTGATGCTATTATAGTTTTGCTTTTTAGAAGTACAGTTTGTTTCTAAGTGTCCGTTTACCAAGAAATCTTCCTCCTGAAGCTGCTTTGACAGCCCCGCCATGCTTAGCCTTAGGACCTGCTCCCTGTCTCTGGTCTGCCTGTGGCTCTTGACTCCAGTCGGGTGTGGGCAGCTCTCCGCCCAGAAAGCTGCTCCTGGCCTTGCTGTCCCCACCTCGACCCTTCCATATCTCTAAGCACCCAATTTCCTCTCCTTCAATGTTTTCAAGGCAGCAAACCATCCTCGCCCCCCTAGAACTGGCTCTTTTTGTGCTTTGTATTTTCCCCTATAGCAATGCCACTACAACTAAGAACTAATCTGTGATACATTACAGTTTCCTTTAATTTCTTAATACTGCCAACTGTGCTAAAGCTAAGTGATCTAAGAATTGTGTCTTTTGATTCCATAGTTGTATCCTTAGTACCAAGAACAGTGTCAGATGCACAGTAAATAATATATAAACTGTGCTTCTATCATCAGCAGTAAGTGAGAGTGCCTTTCCTACTGGTATTATTGACAGCATTAAGCATTCTAATTTTTTCATTCCTGACACTAATGTCCATTTTTTAACCCAAGCTGAGGGAACAGAGTGGTGAGTAGAGTCAGTGTTACCTATACGCTAAGCGGCTGTTCCTTAGAAAAATGAGTTTCTTCAGGCTTTGAGAATTTGATAAGGAGAACATTGGCATCTCAGTTGGTATAATTTTTCATTCTTCGACCAACGTTGACAATTCTTTAACGTTTGATAGTTAATACATTTGTTGCAAATACTTTTCTACTTAAAACTATGCAATAGTCTTAGAATAGGTCCTCCGCAGCTCTAGAGATAGAAATCATTGGTCTGTGGATTGAAATTCCATCTATTACATGTTTGGGGCTGACTCTTACATATTTTGAATAATGTAAGTATCACTGCAGTTTCACAATAGACCTCCCCCAAACTCAAAGTAGTTGACAAAAGACTATGGGCCCAAAGAGTCAGAGACAAGAGCTGGCATTTGCATGTGATACAAGGCCTCTTGGTGCCCCGTCTGCCTCATGTAGGACCTACTCTTCTGTTATTCCCACGTCTCTTACTTGTGTCTGCTATTCCTGTTTGCATGGGGCGTCGTGGAGGCAGCCCATGCTGTGACATGCGAGGGGATGGGCAGAGCCACCCAGGCAGCTGCTCACCACATCCGTACGCAGCTCGTGATGAGGGCACGACTTCCTCCCTAGTCAAGATGGAGAATATTTGTCTAGCCTCCAAACTGAGTTGTTCCGCATGGCAGCAGGCTTCTTTTCTTTTGTTTACGGGGAGGCATTTCAAATAAATAAATTTTCAAATAAATGCTGTGAAGATTTAAATTTTAACGTTGGTTGGTTGATGTCCCTGTAAAATGAAATTAAGAGTCACTTCACTCTCACTACTAACAGGATAAACACGGCCTTATGGAACATGGCCTCTGTGCTGGACTGTTGGAATCCATCATGATTCTTACTTTGCTTTCTAAGAAACTAATCAGAGAATATTAAAGTTTATTAAGAAGGTATTTCAAATTTTGCCATTTGTTCTCTTTTAATAATATGTTTTTCTGTATATTTGCATTTACAGCCCAAACTTAGCATGGCTAAATGCAGAAGAAATGTGGAAAACTTTTTAGAAGCATGCCGAAAACTAGGAGTACCAGAGGTAACATCAAACTTAGTTCATATAACCGTATTTTAGTGAAAACTGTATCTCTGTGCTTGAGCCATTGAATAGATATAACCCTTGTAATACCTTTTTAGTCTCATCCTTTTTTTCAGAGATTAATCTTGAAAGCATTTTATACAATTTTAATTTAAATTGTTCTATCATAGTGAAATTAAAATAACTGCATATTACACGCTTTTCCAAGAACAAAGGGAAAATAGTTTTTGTAAGGTTTTGAAATAAGTCTGAAATTCTACACTTGTAAACAATTTAATCAGCTAAATTAATTAGAATCAGTAGCTGCTTTAAGAACAGAAAATGAAGAGACTGTGAGAGCAGGTTCCGTAGAGCGGAACTTTAGAGCGCATGTATTCCTTACTCAAAACTCTTAATCAAAGACCTGTAGTTGCCTCTTAATTGTTGATTTTCATTCACTAGTTACATTTTGAGTATGTGAATCAAACTAACCAACACTGTGTGCTAAAATTATCATCACTAGTATTGATGCTTTTATGTTGCTTTACAGTTTATTTATATTTACATTTTGTCTTTTAGTTAGCTGTAGGCAACTAGCAATGTAGCTAGCCCAACTGTGTCTTCTACTGTTTCCCGCTCCCAAACTCAGGCTCAGCCTTGCCCTCAGGCAAATGGTTGATTCGAGGTCTTTTAAAGACTTTGTGGTTAGTAACATAAAGTAATCCTTAGGGGCACATGAGGCATTTCATTCAGAATTATCATTGTGATAAATGCAAATGGGCAGAAATTATATTTAAATCTTTTTCTCTTTCCTAATGCTCCGGTAACTTAATCTAACTTAATCTATCATGAAATAACTGTTTTTGAGTATGTGAAAGAAACACATTTCAATGTAATTTTACTCAGCGTTAGGTGCTATTAAAAGTTACTTTTTCTCCCCTGTCATCATTTATTTTCTTTTTTCTCAACTTTTTTTTAGCTTGTTGGAATTTAGATCTTGGCGGGTTAGTGATAGGATTCTATTGTTGTTTGAGGAAAAGAAGAATATTGTTAAAGCATCCTGTGTCGGAGCTGTAGCAATAAATTCATTTTCAAAAGAGCATAGTTTCTCTGTGATAGACTAAATGTCTGTGTGATCAGTTCCTCTTTCAACAGTGTTACTTTATGTCTTTATTGTATGTACACACTTTAATATTGCATATACATTCTTGGCTTCAAATACTTGTGAACACACTTATCTTTTCTAATGACTTATTTCTGACTTGGACTAATAAGTTATTTTTCATATGTGAATCCAAACTCTCATGCCAAGTTTTGGATGAAAAATTATTTGTGTCTTTGGTACAAAGCACTGATGAGCTAGGATTTAAGTCCCTGTGATTATTTTAAGCTCATCAACGCTTTTTGGCTTAGAGTGATACAAAATGGGGTTTACTATAAATAAAAGTTGGTATTCACAATTTCCTTTTCCAATGAAGAAAAAGGAAATGAAATTTTTTAAAGGCAGAGCAAATTTTATTATAATTTCTGAATTATGCCAGTGTAGTGTCTCTCACAGTTATAAGCAACTAATAATTCCCAAGAAGGTTGAAAGGGAAGAAGTAGATGACCTTTTCTGCCAATTTTCCAGTTAACTAGTAAGAAGTATGTCAGATGTCACTTAGGTTATTTTTGCAATGATTTTTCAGGTTTTAGGTGGTTTTTCAAGTCTGGAGGTGTGTGTATATGTATATGTATATGTGAGCGTAGTTTCCACCTTGATGGATAGTGCAACAGCAGTTTCCTGATGTCTACAGTTACTTTAAGGACACTGCTACTAGAAAAAGCCTGTAGAGTACTTGAAATTGTTGAGCGAGACTGTTAATATAAACAGAAATATTCTGATGGGAAACTAGGTTCCCATTTAGACAGCAATTGTTAAGTCTTTCAGTATACTCCAGTCAGCATGTTCTCATCTCAAAGTATCATGTGGAAATGTTTCCATGAAGAACATGATGCAAAGTTATGGGATCACATGACCTCTTTGATCTTAGATATGTGTCCTCCAGTCACTAATGAGGGGTCATTGTTGCAGTGTACATATGGCCCAGTGCAGCTCATCACTTACACTAAAAAGATAACTGTATCTCAAGAGTGTTTGATTTCCCAGTAATCAGCGTTAATCTCGCTAATGTACAAGTTTTTTCTGCTTTCTTCTTTACCCATAACTTACCTGTACTTATACACAAGCCATGGATATTTTGTACTCAGTATTTTTTAAACTAAATATCTGGTTTACATCTCCTGTAATAGACTCACCATTGAGAACTACAAACTAAAGTCAGGGGTACGCAGTTTCCATATCAGGCACATATGGGCGGAATCTAGCAACTGAGCAGATTAGTTAAATGATTACGTGTAAAGTCCTGTGATGGTATGGAAGCAATTCTAAATCATTCTGATTATTGTAGCTTATTTTATTTTCTTTATAAGTCCCCATGAACACAATCCCAGATATTTTCCTCAGGGTTGGCCAAGGTTCATGAAATATTCATGCGTGATTCAGCAGCTAGAACCACAGAGCCGGACTGTGGTTGTGGAACGTTCAGGAACTGTGTCTGTGCAGGGTGTGGCAGCACTGTACAGAAATTCATTGAATAAATGAAAGGTTGAGGGTTGGGGTTAGATTGTCCTTCAGTGCGACGTTAAACTGGCTTTTTACAGGCAGGTAGGAAAGAGTGGCTGTAGAGTGGTTCACCTGTAAATGTGGTTTCCTCAGTGACTTGCATTCAGAACTGTAGGCAGGGTGAGGTGCCCTCTACATCCTCTGGGGTGTTGATGCAGGGTGTTCAGATCGTGCAGCTGACTCTGGCTTCTGTGCTTGCTTCCGCATGGCCTGGAACATAAGCCGTGATGGGTTTCTGAATCCCTGAGACTCTGAGACTAGTTACGTCTTGGGGTTATGTAGCTATTTATGGCCATAGAAAAGAAGTAGCTATTTGGTTTACCAGGGAGCTTTTTCTATTCAGTTTTAAGTAAGCAGCCTTAGTCTCAGAACTCTTTAAGGACTAAGGATCTAGTTAACAGTTTTGACTTCTTTATGGGAGGAAGAACTCAAAAGTAGAAATGTGCTTTGTTTTCTGGCTGCCCAGCCCTTCACCTCCAGAAAAAAGAGCAGATTAAGGGCAGGGAGTGTTGATGGGTGGTAAATACCGTGGCAGTTAGTGGCAACTGTTGCCCGGTGCCCCTGTGTCCTTTCAGGACTGTAGGAGACCCATGCCCAGAGGGACAGGTCACTTGATGTCCCTCACTTTTTTTTTGGTGTGGAGAACCAAACTCATGACCTTGTGTTTGCCAAGCAGGCACTTACACCCCTGAGCTAACCACCCTCCCCCATGTCCCTCATTTTCTACACCAGTGAAGCACAGTTAATATCCTGAAGTCCATTCAGATGCTAAGATTGCGTTAACATAAGTGGAATTACGACTTTTTCTTTTTAATACTTTTAATATCCGTGATTTTTTTGTTTATAACAAGAGTTTCTATTTAAAATACTAACAAATTTCCTACTGTACACCTGTTGTGAGGATTTAAGAAATTATTCTTATACAGTTGATAAGAATTTTCATTATTCAAAGACATTGTATAAATTAAAGGTACTGTTTTGTTTCATTTTCATCTTTAAGAGAAATTCTTTTTGAACCTTATACCTCTTTTATCAGTAGTATGTGTTTATTCTCTTAAGCATCCTTTCCCACCTGAGTGTCTGTTGGTCACTGCTAGTCAGCAGTCTGACAGCCTTTCATATATGCATAGTTAAGAATAAGTCATTTTAGAAGCAAAATTCATAAAAAGTTACTAATTTTGGAGTTAAGCTCTAAGTCCATACAATAGGCAGTCTATTGTCATCTATTTGAAAAGGGCCTCCCAGAACCAGTTCACAGTGAGCACCAAGGAACCACCCTGTTGACTTTAAAAATTAAAATTATGTTTAAATAAATTAAATATATTCCAACTTTCTAAGTAAGACTCCTGCCTCAATAGGGATGGGCTTAGAATTTAGATTATATGGTACCCAGAACTTATATAAAACCTAGATCTGTTGTCAGATCTGTTTACATTTCTGTTGGTGTTCACAGTATTTGGGGAGACCGAGCCATTAGGCCATTGTTTAATAGTAATCTCAACTGCACTAATAACAGCAATAGCTATTTCAGTGTTCAAGCAAATCACTAACCTCCGCAGGTTGTGGTTTGGTTCTTTATAATGGGAATCAGTGTCCTCCTCTGCCTTTGAAGGTTCTGTGTGATTAACTGTGTTTTTCAAATGCCTCCAGTAATTATAAATGCTCTAAAACTGATGAAAACTTGCCTCTTCACATCTCTTTCCTTTTTTAAAGTATTTTCCAGTTTTAATTTTCAGAAAGAATCATCTTGAAATCTGTCTCATTAAGGCTAAATTTTAGAAAGCACAAGACCGGAAAGTTCCATTTCCCTAGGAATTTCTTCCGTTTGCACTGCAGTATTGTTGGGAGGACTGGAGGAAACTGCCTTTGGTCGCATGATACAGGGTTGAATTAGAAAGTAGGTCTCCAGTGGCCATAGCAGCCCACCTTCTTTACATTAACTATGGTGGCTTGGAGTTTTGCCTACCAGCCAGGCTAAGACCCCCCTTTTGTTTTCCTTTGGAGACTGTAATTTAATGTAAGCCACCACAAGCTGTGACTGTATGCCTTAACCACTGTAATTAAGCCCAGCTTCTGTGACAGCATGAAACTGTTTCCGGGATGAGAAAAATAGTTTGTGTTGCCCGCTCCCTGAGGATTGTACTCCTAAATAAGTACCTGAAAACTGCAAAGATGCTTGGATCCCCTGCTGGGGGACAGACCAGACAAGCTCTATAGGGCTCTGGGAAATGTATTCAAACGCTAGCTAGAGATAGAATGGATTGCTTTTGACATGGAAATACCATTTTTGTGAAAATCATATTTCAGTGGGTGTTTTCAGTCTTTGTCTCCCGTCTGCTTTTCTCGGATTTCACTG